ACGTGTTTAATAATAAATCCCGATCGCGCACATAAGCACGCAAAAAAAAGCGCTCGAGTCAATTAAAAATTATAAGCGCATTATGCGCGTATCCTCCGCGCAGAACGGGTGCGCGCAATTAAAAAGCGTGTTCAAAGTGCCACTATTTAACCAAATTTGCTGCATTTATCCAATGCGCAACAACGTCAGCCCGTAATCGCATTACTGTCGTTTTGTACGTTTGCACATTATGCATAATTATAGAGCATAAATTTATGTGAATCCTTTTGTTTCGAATGCTTTTCCCCCTTTTAATTAAAGCAAGTAGCAAGAAACGAATCCGACAAACATTTCAACATGAACATCGCTAATAATACATACAATTAATTATTTTCATTTTATAAAACCTGGGCGTCAAGTTCAAGCTGCATATTTATTAAAGTGTAGAAGTCGTCACGTCGTCAAGGACTTCAAAATAACAATAAAATTTTCAAACGAAAATAATAATAACTGCGATGACACAGTTTTGCCCTTTATTCTAAACTAATTTCCAATGCATAGTGATGCGTTGAGCTCATTGTTGGCGCGTCGCGAGCAATAAAAGCTTCAATTACGTTCTTATTTTCCATGTTTGCGCCGGTGGTCTCGAAATAATTACCTTTCGAATGATACGTTGTTTTGTTGCAAATGTCACGAAGAGGAACGTCATCATAATTTTATTACAATACACGCGTGCTCTATGCGGCGCGAGAATCGCAAGATGAGATAACACAAATAGCTGAAAATATATAAAATGAAGTCATGCCCTTGCGGACGATGCATGAGCCGCTTTCAACACTAAACGTGCAATTCTCATGTGACGCTAGATAAATGTGAAAACTTTTAATTGTGTAAAAAATATATATAATAACATCTAATCAAATATGCATCGTGTGAAAGTCGTGTTTCTTCTTGTTTGTGCATTAGAATTTAGTCTTGTGTCGCCGTTACAAATGAAGAATGAAACGACAGAAACACACACACACAACATTCACACCGGCGTGTGTCCAAACTTGTTCGATTAAAATGTTCGTCGGTTGTTTGTTTGTTTGTTTACTTGTTGAAATTATGTCCTTCTGCAGCGGATTTGCGTTTCAACTTTGGTGTTTTTCGGCGTTTCCGTCTGCGCTTCGATATAAAAAATTTCGGCATCGCATGCGATAAAAAGTCACGCAACTATTTGGAAAGTAGCAACACGTGTCGCACATTTGACACAACGCGCAGCCCGAACGCAGAACGAACGAAATGCGCAATGCCCGACGCACACGGCGACGGACAACAAGGTCGGAATTCAGGTCGCCCCGCATTGCGATGCGTGGCCCCGTGTGAGAAAACGGATCCTGGTAGACTGCTGGGCTCCTAACTAGAAAAGTCCCCCCAAGAAGCAGCGGCAAGCACACACGCGAATTGGACAAAGATGGCAGATAATTACAAAAATTGCGGCGGGCCGACGTGCGAACGAGCGCGACGCGCCGACTCTCGCCAATAAATATATCCAGCATCGGCGGTGTGGCGGCTAGACAAATACCGCGCCGCTTGGATTTTATAGATTTTCGTGAGGGAAACGTACGCGACCGCGATACGAGATACGTATATGCACGCGACTTCAAGCATCTTTGCGGCGAATATTTCCCATCGAATCATGCACTCACGTATTTACCCAGCGATGACTGTATGACACTAACGCATAAAAAGACAAGCGCGAAATATTTAACAACCCATTGAAATTTCTATGCAAATATCGCGTCGGTCTGCATGGCGAATCATTTCGATTCTTCCAAGCCGCTAATCACTTGAAAATTCCGATAAATCCGGCGAACAAAGTGCAAAATGCAAGATCTTTGTTTAGTTTATAATAAATGTGTAAAAATAAAATTATCACGTATTGTGTCAGTGCTTAAAAAATAACCAACGCACTAATTAAATGATGGGGTCAATAATTACTCATTTGATTACATATTTGCCTGACACACTAAATCATGAATGAACGCAAAACGAAAAACAAGCTAATCTTGTTCTCAATTATTTTTATGACTTTCCACAATGTTTTTGCAACTTTATCAAGACGAAAGACCATAACGCAGGTCAGTATTTCAGCGTAGAGGTCATTAAAAGCACCAAATATTATCAGCGCAAAGTTTTAATTTATTTCGTGTATTATTTTTTTCGCTGCGAGCTTAAATAACAACCGTTATCTACAATCCGCATGTAAATGTTGAAATAAAATGTGAACCATTGCCAGCGCAGCAGTATGCGATCGTCAATTAGATGAGGAAACTTATTTCCGGTTGAATAATGCTATTATGGAAACTCAAATTCCACATCAGGTCAATTACACTCGGTATTGCACACGCCGGACAAAATTCCAGAATATTAATTTACAACCAAAAGTTTAACATAAGCGTGGAACTTTTGGACGCAGCTTAATGCGTCTATAAAAGGGCTGAAATCACACGCGTAAATTTAATTGGCCACCCAGTTAATAAATAGTTACTTCTTCCGTTCGCAGTGTGTATTTACCAGTCGTTTCCGAACGCATGCCATCCGAAGAAGGAATGTGCCATCCATAGAATATCAGAGCGTATAAAATTAAACTCCCCTTTTCACCTTACAAAGTGGTTCGCGATAGAGGCAGCTTAAAATACTAATTATAAAATTGAGAATCGCCTTGGGTGAGCTGTGCTCTACACTACGGCTACCGGTGGCTCGCCAGCTAGATAGGTATGCCAGGATGGCACTTCCGTCACAGGTTGCCAACCGTAATTGCCAAGGACCGCGGCGCAAAAGTACCCAAGGGCCGGCAAGGAAAGCAATAAAACCAGCAAACTATGAAAAAACATCATTCACGCCATCCGACGATGATTTCGCTTCGACCGCGCCTTATTAGCGCGTTCTTTATTAGTTTATTAAGTTGATTAATATAGTTTGCCATATCAAGATGCACGTTTGCCGCACGTACGCCTTTTTACGTTTAATTTTAATTATGCGCGTTGGCCCTGGAATCCCCGTTCGCGTGGTCGCCAGGGCCTTCCAATTACGAAGTGTTCGCAGGTTCATTACTTCCATGCGCTACACCTCTCTTTCATCCGTTTGTTTATTAATTGCTTGATTATTTGATGATTTCCGTTAGGTTGGTATTGCCTTTTCCTTCCGTTTCGGATACTTGCGGTGCGTTGTCTGTTCTTGTTCGTTACGTTTATGGTGCACGTCGAACGTGGACCCTCATAAATTCAAATTTCCACAGTTCTTATCGGACGCATAAAAACTAACAACTTTTCGAGTCGATAAAATATTTCGATTGTCACTCAGTTATATACATTTTTTCCAGGCTGGATACACGTACGCATTCCATTTTTGTCGGCTACGCGTATACTTTCTTCTATCGCCATGTTGCTTATCAATGTTATGCATGTTTATGAATTTAAAATCATACTGATCACCCAACAATATACATATTTTAAGTAAAATTAAATTAAGACCAAAAAATCATTAAAATTACGCATGATAATCGCAATTTGCTACAAATTAACTTGGAATTAATAAAAAATACGCGAACTACGACGATTAATTTATCAAAAAAGTTTGAAATAGATTATGCCTACAACCAGTGTATTTTATAGCAAGTAACAATGTCGATGATAAGTATGCACAATACTATCTTCCTGGAACTACCGTGTAGTACATATCCATGTAATGATAGCGCAAGTGCGTGATAATGAAGGGTTGTACAGTCTTCTACCATGTTATATTACTCGTATATGCACGCGGTATCAACAAAGTGCTAACTATTTATTACAATGACTTTCCACACACTATTATATTCATTCCTGGCTTTTATGCACAAATATTTTAGAGAAGTTTAACTAGCAATAAATGACAGTTGAGTTTTGCGCAAACTGCATCAATTATAAACAGGAATAAGTTTATCTAGTGGAGAAACCATTTCAAACGGATTTTCCAAGCGCAAAACCACGCTTTAATCGCGTCTTGTTTTATAATTACACAAATGATGTTAATTTAATATTTTAGCTCAGGATTTTACGCATGCTAAGGTGTTAGTTGAATTAAGATAATCGCTAAAAGTATGCACCCGAAGGGCAATATGTTCATCCGCATAATGAAGGCTTGAATAAATATCGACGGTGAGATGTACACGAGATGTACTTACAATCGAGCAATACAAGTACGTGCCGCAGCCAAGTAAAACATTTTCGATGCTCGGCTACGGCGCGGCGCGCTCCAAGAGACGAAGACGCGGCGCAACAGCTGTAGGACGTGGGGCGCGCGAGCCGAGCGCGGGGAAGGCGCGCAGGCACCGTGAGGTCAGACGTGCCGAGGAATGTCGGCGCCTCGGGCGCGCTGGCTAGGAATCTTGGCCCCCTTGTCGAGCCCCCGCGCGCTCGCTCCGCGCTAACTCGCTCGTTTCATTCATTCACAGCGCGGCTGAGACCGGCCCGACCCGCAGCGCGTCCCGGAGACCTCCTACTACGATACCTACATCAGAGCCGGACAACTTTCACCGAGTCACCAGTGCACCAACGCCATCTCGTATCCATACAATACTTTTATGGAATTCCTTAATGATATTCATCAATCTACCTTGCAAACTTTACGTTGTTATAGGAGACAACTGGGTTTAAAGTTTTTGTACTTGAAACTATGCATGTTTTTGATAACATAGTTGTTTGCTTATACATTACTGTTATGACTTGACTATGTTTCAAAAAACAATAGATTCCATTACGTGGAAAGTTTGTGTTTTTTAGTAAAATGTAAGAATGTAACAAAAAAGTTTTAAATAAAGAGCCTTAGAAGCAAACTGCTACATTTTTGAAACCATTATTTTGATTTCAGGAATTTATGGTAGGCAACCTTGTTTACAACTCAAGCATATTTGGTTGCCTATATGCAACTGCTCAGAGTAATCTCTCAAATTTGAAATATTTATAGCGAGATAAAAATATAGATAAAAATCTACTCACCGCGCACTTTCAAGTGTGGCAGAAGACGACCGCCCGATAGCGCCAAAGCCGACGCCCACAGCAAGCCCTTCAGGTATGTTATGAACGGTAATTGCAATCACCAGAAGCATAATCCGCTTCCATTGGCCATGCTGAATCTCCTCGATGTTCGACCCTTCCTCATAAGTCTGAGAAACTATTTCATCAGCCTGATTAGTATTTTTATTCCTACCTGATTAAAGATGTTTAAACATTCCAGTTAAGAATAATTATATAACAAGCATATTTACCTCTTCTTCTTGTATTATGCAAGGAATCATTAAAGCCTTCAATTGTAGTAGTATCTCTTATAGTAGCTAGATGTGCTTTTGTCTCCTCTTCTCTCTTGTCTTGTTTGCGATTGGAATGCAATGCTGCAAATGCCAGAGAAAAATGCAAGTGAAAGTTGCACTGCCACTACTGCCAGTGACATTGACCATTGAAGTCTTAAAGTCTTGAACTTACCAAGCATCATGTTAGGTGAATGGACACCAAGAACTGTGATCAACACATCAGTGCCATACACAAATAAGGCCCCCAGAAGAAAACCAATGCCAACAGGAATGAATGCATATTCACCTTCTTCGCCATAAAGTTTTGACTCTGCAGCCATTTCAATTGCAGGAGCCAGCAAACTCCAAAAAGACGCTGCTGTCATGACACCGGCAGCAAAACCTAAACTACTATCTAATAATTTACGCTAAAAAACAACAAAATATTATTGCACAATTAGTAAGTTGTTTAGATAGTACATTAGTAATGTGAAGGTTATGTGTACATACTTGAGAGCCGCGCACGAAGATAACAAGGGCTGCTCCCGCGGCAGTGAGGCCCCATGTTAACAAAGTACCCAGAAATGCCTGCGTGACTGGTCCATAGCCGGCGATCATCTTTACTAGTTACGTTTTTACGTCAATTTTCGACTGCAGGCTGCATGCAGAACGATGCACTTCCTTGCTTCCGGCTTCCAAACCACTTCAACGGTTCCAACTCAGACCGCACGCACCCACGCGCAAACCGCAGCTGATCCGATGAGTGTCTAGGACGAGCGAACGAGCGCGTCGATTACGTCGCCACGGGCCAATAGAAATGCAGCGCAAACTTTTTTAAACTCCTCGCAGCAACAAGCGATAATCGCCGATTGTAAAAAAAGGATCTGCACACGCTGATCGTTGGCTGCACTCTGACCGCTGTCGATTGCCGGAACTTGCGATATCTGCAGTTGAAGTTAAAGGACACCCAATGGCCGTGAAACGCGTGAAGCTACGCACGAACGCACTTGGAACGCACTCTTTCCTTTGCTTACAGGTGGAACTTGTTCACTGTTAACACAAATCTTTGAATTTCAAATGATTCTCAACGTTCGCTTTCATTCGGCGTGCGCGACACGTGAATAACTTTCGTAATTCCAATGCAAACAAGTTATCTCAACGCACAACGAAATAATTAACGTTAATCTCGGTTGATTACTCTTCGAGAGTACCGCGTCGAGCACGTTCGCAAGTATCGTTCGCGATTGTATTCGGTAAATGTGGATATGTTAAATTTCCGTCTAATATTTATACGCGGTTCGCACGCGGGGAGTCGATTCGGTAAACAGGTGTCGCAAAAAAGTTCGTTTATCGTGCGCGACGCGAGAGATACTCATAGCTGAGGAGGATCAACAATTCATGGGTGTTCGACCGATTGCTCGATAACGCGCGCACGTATGCATCGATTATAATTGTAGTACAATTTTTTTCCTAATCGTACTTTATTTACAAACGTCGTGTTATAATTGTATGAACGTAGGCGTGCTAATTCACATAAATTGCGTTAAAGTGTAATGTGGCACATCCTTGAAAATTGAAAACTAATTTAGGTCGTTACAAAGCGAAAAATTCACCCGTAATACTTGTTTTTATTTTTTTGCATTATTACACTTTTATGGCAATAAAAAAATATATGTTTTTATTAGTGTATTATACGTTACTTACCAAAAGTTTTGTAAAACAACAGCAGACTTGTAAATTTCTTACCTCATCACTGTTGTTAATTGGTAAATACATTTGGAAATTAACTTTTGTAATACACATGGAAAATTTATCAATTTCATAAAGCAAAAACAGTAATCGTTTACAGTGTATGATTTAAATTCGCAAAATGTGTTGCATTTTATGTTATCAAATGACATGATAATGACAGTGAAAAAAAATTATTCGTCTCAACCTTCACCAAATGCCTACAAAACAAGCGTTACGCATCACGAAATAAAAAGAAGTCAATTATTTCTGCTTCACCCACCTAATGGCATTATTGGTGTCGAGGATATTCAATTGCATCCAATTATCAACGTTTGATAATAAATAATTTACAGTACGGTGCACTAATTCATGCACAACAAAACGGGAAATGATGCATGATAATAAGTAGGTATTATTTTTTCTCACATCGCATATTCTACGCATCGCGACTTTTTTCCCGACGATAAACTAGATTATTATATTGTTTAATAAGCCGACATTGCCGATATTTAAATTATATTGATTCGCCGAATGATTTAAAGGTCACAGTTAAGCGGACAATAATGTTACTTAAAAAAAGTTGTTTTCTAAGATGCTATTCAGAAGTAATAAAATAATGTTCACCTACAAGAAGTATTCGTGGAATTATTGCATGTGGTTTATTAAACGTCGTACAAGCTGCTAATTCAACTTCTGTTTGCACCGCAAACAGAAAAGCGGCGGAAGTTTCCAACTTCTCACGAATTCGGTGTTGTGTGTTTATTTAGTGCCGATAGTGCGTCGCCGGGAACTTAGACAATAAATACAATTAAGTTATACAGTAGTGCAATCACAAGACTAACATCGTAATATGTATATCAACACACTTAATGTTTAGAAAGTACAGTAGTTACGTAGATACAGTAGATAGTAAACACATTCGCAGATGAGCAAGGGTCCATCACGTCACACACTGACCCTTGTGCTAACAATTATATATATATCGCTGTATAGTAATTAAGCTATCTTAAGATTACAAATCACGAAGGGTCACTGCCCTTGGGCAAGTATGTACGCAAAGTTTTGCACTTAGACATTTTTGGATGAATAAAGTAGTAGTTACCGAGCAAGCATCGAGTGAAGATCGCCTCACTTCTCCGAGCACCTCTAAGACTCTCCGCTGCCTTACAACCAGCGTAAAATCCACACATCAGTCCTTCTGCTCTCAGCTTTGAACCCGGCGCCATCTTCAGAGCGCACGCTGGCTTCACATTGGTCCTTCGAACCGGATGCGACGAAATCAGGAAACTAAGGTTTGATTTTAGTTGTTTCATTTATATAAGCTCCACCAGAAAGCAATATAGGCACCCGGATTTACGACCCGTGGTACCTCGCGAATCCGTCCAGTTAAGACTTGTGGATCGAGTAGCAAGTTCTTGATTGGGAAAAAGAATCGCAATTGCATCTGGGCAGCATTACAAAGACAGAAGACTGCAATTTCCAAGCGAACTTCCATAGAAGCACTGACTATCATGGAAGCCGCAAATTCTTTTGCCAAAAGGCAAGAACAGATTAAATCAATTACATCTGAGGCTACAGCCGCAAAAACGCGAGCACAAATAACGGCTTTACAAGCCAAATTAGAAGACTTATGGCCAGAAACGTGGAGTAACCAATAAACATATGGAGGCAAAATCCGCATTGGACAAGTCCACGGTAGACCCCATTCATTCAGCAACAATCGCACAGCATCCACTCGTAAGACAAAGGAACATTCACCTCAAATATACCGAGGAAGAGATTGCCATGTGCGAAGCTGACAAGGCGAAAAATCCCGAATCATTTAACGTCCAATTCTGGATAGACGGAATATCCCGGGAATGGTCATTAGCACGGGAGCTCCAATACCGGATCTACGCCGAAGTAGATCCAAATCAAGCTGACAATGATCGCTTCGATACAAGTCGAAGAAGAATCACCTTCTTTCTAGCATGGTTGCATACACCAGCAGTAAACAGTGCACCAACAGCATCATCAGCCAGAGCAGAAGTGTTCGGAATTGCCGACGAGGAGCCCAAGATATCCAAATCCACGGTCACCGACACTCTGCAATCGGAGCCAGGTTCAGAACTCTCACTGATTACCGAAAATGCAGTACAGCAAATCGGGATTCGAAATCAATCAGCGAGAGCAGAGGTGTTCGGAATAGCCGACGAGGAGCCCAAGATTTCCAAATCTATGGTCACCGACACCCTACTATTGGAGCCATTAGACTTCAACACGTTTAAACTGTGGGAAAATCGCCCACTAGCCGATCCATACCTCTTCCGTCCGGGCAATATCGACATTCTATTGGATGGCTTAGAAAAACCTAGTGGATATATGGCACAAAATTCAGAGCGTGGTTGGCACAAATCCCCACAAATCTCAGCACAAGTATGCACTGTCAGCGGCCCCCAACCAGACTTAACACGGTTCTGGGAATTGGAAGAGGTTGAATGCAGTATTCAACCCACGGCAGAAGCAGAGAACTGCGAAGTATGGTACAAAGAAAGTACAACTAGAAGCAAGGACGGAAGATATACCGTGTGCTTGCCGTTCAAAGAATTTCCACCAAAACTTGGAGAGTCACGATCACGTGCACTGGCGAGATTCCTCCAATTGGAAAAGAAGATGCGGTGCAATGCAAAATTAAGAGAAGATTACCACACGTTCATGCGAGAGTATCTAGAGCTGCACCGTATGAGAAAGGTAAACAAGAGAGACTCTCAATTATACGGCTATTATATACCTCATCGCGCAGTGATAAAAGAAGAAAGTTGCACCACCAAATTACGAGTGGTTTTCAATGCATCATGCCAAACATCGTCGAAGCTTAGCTTGAATGAATGCATGTATGTTGGTCCGCAGCTCCAGAATGACATTGCGGATCTATTGCTTCGATGGAGAAAACATACAATTGTCTGTACAGCAGACTATACAATGGTCATAGATATCATCAAAAAGGACTTCTACGTCGACGACGTGCTCTCAGGAGCAGAAGACCTAAAGACGGCCAAGAAACTCCAATTGGATCTTCTCGAAGTGATGAAAAAGGGTGGATTCACTCTTCGAAAATGGTCTAGTAAACTTCCGGGATTAATTGAAGACCTACCCAAAGAACTGATTGACCAATCCACGTACGACGTGGGTTCAAGTGAAACGAAGAAAACGTTAGGGACCACCTGGGACCCACAAGAAGATACAATTATGGTCCGTATAAATAGGAATGTTTCCACCAAGATAACAAAACGGAGCATCCTATCAGACATTTCTAAAATCTTCGATCCTCTCGGATGGCTGTCACCGGTTATCATTATAATCAAACTACAAATTCTAAAACTTTGGAGTGACAAGATTGACTGGGATGAAAACCTAAATGAAGAAAATACAGAGAAATGGCAACTCTTCTGTCGTCAACTCCCGGACATCGAAAGTATTCAACTACAACGTTGGGTGTCTACAACTGCGAACATGGAACAACATGGATTCTGTGACGCATCAGAAAAGGCGTATGGAGCTGTCGTCTATTGCAGATCACCGAATGGCGGAAAGACGTATATCAATGTACTCCAAGCCAAATCAAAGGTTGCGCCGGTGAAAACCCAAGTCTCGTTACCTCGACTAGAGTTGTGCGCAGCAAAGATAGTAGCAGCGTTACTAAGGAAGTTAAGGATCTCGCTAGACATCTCGAACGAAAACATCTACGCATGGTCGGACTCGATGATCACCTTGGCATGGATTACCGGACCAGTGGAGAAAAGAGAGGTCTTTGTGGCAAACAGGATAGTTGACGTAAACCGAAATATTCCGACTCATGCATGGAGGCATGTAAGGACGCACGAAAATCCTGCTGATCTAATAACACGAGGGGTGGCACCAAACAAACTGAAGGAGAACAAGCTATGGTGGCAAGGACCAACATGGCTGACGCAGGAGAAGGAAACGTGGCCAACGCAACCGATGATACGAAAGGTCATTTCTACGCCTGCAACGATAAATATACTTATGGTAAAACCAAACTCCTCAATCATCAATCGTTTCTCGTCACTACACAAAATGTTACGAGTTCTAACGTACTGTCAACGATTTCGAACCAGAGACAAGGATGGAATGAAGTATGCAGAAATGGAGTCAACAATGCAAGCAGTCATCAGATTGGTGCAGCAAGAAGGATTTGCTGATGAATTAAAGGCGTTAACAACTGGATCACACATTGCTAAGGCAAGTAAAATAAAATCACTAATTCCATTTGTTGATCCAGAAGGCGTTATTCGAGTCGGAGGACGTTTGGAAAACTCTCAGCTTAAATACAATCGGCCACATCCAATTCTTATACCATCCAACCATCATGTGGCGAAATTAATTATCCAAGACGCGCATTACACGACGCTGCATGGTGGCAATGAAACAACATTAGCATTCACCAGAAGAAAGTTTTGGATTCCAAGAGCCAAAGAAACAATTTACCGGGCAACCGACAGTTTCCAACGGATCATTAAGGCCGAGGAGGAGATTGTCCGGGCACAAGAAGACACTGTGTGGAGAACAGTGCCCTCACACGCGTCCGTACTATGGGGAAGTACGATGACAACACTGTTATTTATATTAGGTGTTGTGGTAACAGTGGTTTGGATCCATAGGCGCCGACAAGGCAAACCCTCTCAACCACAAGTAAGCCAAATGGAGTTAGAATCACTCTAGATAATCGGCACCATCAGCAGACAGGATGTTCGCCATCATCAAAGAGCTTCACCATGGAGCCTTCATCGAACACCTCTCCGGCGCCGGCCCCCAGCATGTTTGCACCGCAAACAGAAAAGCGGCGGAAGTTTCCAACTTCTCACGAATTCGGTGTTGTGTGTTTATTTAGTGCCGATAGTGCGTCGCCGGGAACTTAGACAATAAATACAATTAAGTTATACAGTGGTGCAATCACAAGACTAACATCGTAATATGTATATCAACACACTTAATGTTTAGAAAGTACAGTAGTTACGTAGATACAGTAGATAGTAAACACATTCGCAGATGAGCAAGGGTCCATCACGTCACACACTGACCCTTGTGCTAACAATTATATATATATCGCTGTATAGTAATTAAGCTATCTTAAGATTACAAATCACGAAGGGTCACTGCCCTTGGGCAAGTCTGTACGCAAAGTTTTGCACTTAGACATTTTTGGATGAATAAAGTAGTAGTTATCGAGCAAGCATCGAGTGAAGATCGCCTCACTTCTCCGAGCACCTCTAAGACTCTCCGCTGCCTTACAACCAGCGTAAAATCCACACATCAGTCCTTCTGCTCTCAACTTTGAACCCGGCGCCATCTTCAGAGCGCACGCTGGCTTCACAGGGCTTCTCTCCCTAGATCTCCGTGGTCTACCTCGAAAAGATGGTGGGGAAGGTGCGCCGGTAGTGGTTACGTGTCCCTAGAAAGTTATTAAACAAACATTACAACTGCACAGTACACAAACAGAAAAATTTGTTCTTTTTTTCAACAATCATAATTTTATTCAACTTCAGTACAGTATTACTTTTCCTTCTTCTAGAGGTGGGTGTATTACAGTAATTGTTGATGAAAAGAACTGCACTGCAACCGCGAAGTAAGTACTTACATAGTACAAGTACACAGTACTTACAACCACGGCTCATCCCGTTATACCGCCCTCAAAATCGATTACACATGATGATGCGCGTTTGTTTTTATAAAACGCACCTTTACAAAACACGGAAATTAAAGTTACAAAGGTATTGTCTGTCTGCAAAAATATCTCTTTTGTTTCGTCATAGATTTGTTTCATCTTAAGTTCAATTTTCTTCTTACGTTAGCTTTCCTCTTAGTTTGTTTTTTCTTCCTGACATCTTAAATAGTTTTAGGATTACAAGTTACGTTAGTTTGCAATTTATTCATAGTGATCTCGGCTTTGCTCCTGTTGATTACCCTTTAACTTTTGCAAGGTCAACAACGCTTAATATCTTAATTACATACACAGTAAGATCGTTAATGTTACGCTTAGTTGTTGTTTGCATGATTGATTTGTACATCGTAAGCAAGTTTTGTAAGAGATCCATTTGGTGATGTTTCCAATTTACAATAATCAATTAATTTCATACGAGTTAAACGAAGTGCATCAGTATCAATTAGTACAACTTTTTCTTTAAACATGAGGCACAATCCTTAATACATTTTGTTTTCTTACTTATGAAAATGAATTGGTGGCTTGCAAATTTACATTGTTTACTTTGCTGATCGAAATGCTAGAAAATTACCATAATAATGCTATATTACAACTTGTAAATCCTCATTTTTCTAAATACAACGGCCGCAATATCAACTTATGACTAAAATTCCAATAAATTAAGTTTAAATGCGTTTGATTAAATATAAGAAATGTTGAAATTATGTAGCAGATGTTTTGTTATTGACATTTAACCTTAACTAGACTCGCAATAACCTTAGAATAGTATTTAATACTAAAGAAATTATTTACATTAATTATTTGGTATACTTGCATCTTTGTTTACATTTAAAATTAATTATTGTAAAGATATCGTTGTACAATCTACGTAAGAAGGCATAAATTAATACACAATTTTGTTTTCAATCATAAATTAGTGTTGCCCTCCTATCGGATCTTCCAAAATTATAAGTTTTTTTGAATATGAACAAACATTGTTTGCATTTATAGTCCGCTTTAATGAACTAGAGAGAAGTTTCAATGGCGCGGAAGCATCCAGGAGGAAAGCATTGCTTAAGCAGCTAACACTTCTTTCTAACAGTCAACTTCTATGTAATTTTATTTCAAAAATGTTCACGCCTACTCTAAAGTAAATTTGATTGTTAATAATCGAATACAGTAGAGACGTAAAACCTATATGAGTAATTTTGGACGATTTGCAATTATTAAGTGTACTCCGACTCAGCAAACGTTTGAATTCTCACATTTCGAAAGATCTCTTCAATGCACAAAATGAATAATAAATGCTATTAATGTTTGCATGCGTTTACATCCTCGTGTGCTACCTCCAGCATCCAACAACAACTTCGAAGATCACAAGTTTCGTCTAAGATTCGAGTTTCAGTCATTCATTTTTGTTTTATGTTTGGTTTTTGCTTAGTATTGTACAAATTTGTGCACCGTCCAATCGCCATTAACTATTACCAAAATATGGAATGTTGCGCCACACTTTTGTTGATTTTACTCGTTAATTCATCACAATCCATCTGCTTAATACTTTTTTCTTTCAAATTATCTACTTATTTTAGATATTCCTAAGCTGCACTCTCATTCAGACGCCGTCCACTTGCTCTCCAAGCTTGGTACGCAAGTTATTGACTTAATTCTTAATTTTATAACGTTTACTTGCTATTAAAATCCTGAAGTCTTCATAAGACACTCGATATCCTCATCTTCGGCGGCTGAGCTCTCCTCTGACGACGGCGAGAGATTCTGGGACATGAGTGCAGCGCCGAGGGTTTGCGCTCGTCGCACAGGCATTCGCGGCGTCGAGCGTAGAGACGGAAGCCAAGATGGCCGCCGGCCGCCGCCGATCGCCTCTTCAGGGATCGTATCCCTCTTTATAGACCTATATAAATTATTAAATAGTATTACTATAACTGAACTGAAGAATTTAAATTCTAAAATTAAAAACTCAGTGACTTTAAGCGCCATTTTAAATAAAAATTTTAAATGTTTCTTGCTAAAAGTACTAAAATGCATAAAGTAAGCATGCATAAAGTAAATAAGGTGTAAGTATAATGAGTGTTGTGTAGTGTTAATGCATGCAAACGCAGAAAAGTCAAAATCAATAAAATATGATTGGGAAATCTAATGAAAGCGACAAATATGTTACTTGACAAGTTATTAAGTTAATTTTTGATCGATTATTTCGAGTTAATTAATGGTCATTCAAAGATGATTGTCAAGTCCTTATATTTTATGATAAACTGAATACTCTAAAACAGCTACTCCGCTAATAGTCTAAAATCTTGAGGTCTATTTCAAAATACCGACTGATGACCATCAGCAATATACTTACATGTTAATAAACTAAGAAACCAAAGTAATCGCGTTACCCGAATCTATTTGTGCAAAGTTTTCAATTTAATGTCAGCCAATTTCATTCAAATGTTTAATGTAACTCAAAACAAAAAATAAGTCGACTAAATTTGGTTAGCCAGCAACTCAAACAAAACAAAGAGAAGTTTAAAGAGAAAAGAAGTATAAAACATACGAAAGTCGAATAGCTTTGAGAGCTTCGCAGTGAAAAGTGAAGAATTTTAGAAGAGAATAAGAAATCAAGCGTGTCGTGTGCCAATCAGACTGAATTCTGTCGCAGCTAGTCAAAATTTAGTTGCCAATTTTGTTTGTTTTTCTTTGGTAAAAACAATCATATACAATTGAGAGAAAGAGATATTAGTGCAGTTGCTTAATGGCGAGCATACGAAACTAAACAAACCTCCTTACATTGGTCATCATCGTGTACTAGTGTTACTGGTATCAGCATCGTCAACACACCCGCTTAGCTCGAGCATGGACCCGCGTCGTGCTTGCCTGCGCTGGCCCGAAGGCGTCTGCGGAGGCGGCGGGATAGCACCAGGACGTTGCAGGACTCCCAAAGGATCTGATACGCCATCTTCAATTAGTAGCACGGCATTCGGACCAGAAGCAGAACCGCGGCGATCTCTTTGTGGTGAAGATTCATCATTACTGCTTATTTGACCTGAACCAGTGCTTTCCCTTCGGAACAGACCAATCACGGATGATCTTGGGTTTTCAATTCCTCCTAAAACGCAATTTTAGATATAAATAAAATAAAATGTGTGGAATAATTTAATATTCACCAAGGAACGTAGCTGATGGTGAATTATACGCTAAGTATTCCTTGTTTGAAGCCCACGCAGGAAACTCGCATTGTTGAATTGGTTTACAATCCTCCATTTCATCATCTCGTTTCCAGGGTAACACACTTTCGGTAGCTGTGGGTGTAGCAACACGCATCAGTTCTCCACCTGTAAATCGATATCATAATTTAATGCTCAATTTCCTCACCAAGTCAGGTTGCTCGTAATTTGATATCCGCCAGCGTTTACGACAATTTGACAACATCGAAAAGCGTAAAAGAACGGATTAAAATGCAAATGGGTGTACGTACCGTCGATGGAACCTTTCGATAACCGTTTTCCCGTGTCCGAGAAAAGACTATCATCTGTAACTGAACATAGAAAACATTCATAGAAAACAAGCTGCACATTGGGCATACAGAGTATGAAGGCACAAAGGTATGATACAGATAACGACGGCGATTAATGTGCATGCTACACTACATCGACAGTGCCAAGGTCAATTAAACAACGTGTGCATAATTACATCTAGGTGTTAAAGCGGTTTTAAAAGCAGGGTTAGTAAAGTAGTAAATATATACAACTATTGTGTCGATTGGTATGGGCTAACTTAGTATTTTTTTGAAAAAAATCTAAAAACATGCAAAACTAATTGAGAGTGCAAAGCAAAATGTCACATATTGATTAATCCGTAGATATTATTGATTGTAGATGTGGGCCTAATCATTTACTAGTCTATTGAGTGACTGAAGTGACCAACATTAGTTGGAAAGAATTGATATCTATATGTCTAAGGTAATGCTGGGGTGGATTGCTGGTAACGTGTAGATAATATTAAAAAATACATAAACTACATCGGAATGTGTCTGCTGGACTCATTTCGGGCATTCTCTTCGATGGCAAGTTTAATGCAGAGATAGAAAAAATGCACGATCCTGATCGCTCGTTGGTCGTACCGTGTGGGTCCCGGCGCCACGGCAGGCACCCCTCGACGGCGGTCGTTTTTTTACTTTTCGTCCCCATCAATGGGGTTAATTGACTAGTCAGACTTCCGCTTCCTTCAGTTCCAGCACTCAGCGGTGCTTCTTCACTTGCTAAAATTATATCAAAGATATCATTTTACACCAATGATTTGCAATTATTCTCCTGCTAGATTTGTTTGAGACTAATTTAAGTTAGTTGATTATTGTTTAGTATCGAATTACTTGACGTCACACACAAATATCATGCTGCAAATAAACAAAATAATTTGTTCTCATTGAAAGCTGATATAGATAGCTGTCAGCCCAAGGTAAGAACGTCAAATCCATACCAGAATCTTAAGATTCATAACTGTTCCCCGAATGTTTGAGTAAATCACGTGTTGTTTGTGTTTTTTTCAATTTGCACAACACTTATCGAGATCTCTTTTCTCGAGAATGCAAGTCATGCGAATACTTACGCGATGACTTCGCTGTGAATGTGATGGGACTGTCCCAATCCTCTTTGCTCGATTTGGGTTCTGTTGTGTCGTTATCTTCATGCAGAACTTCATCGATGTAATCTATAAGTCAAACAATAAAACCACAAATGTTAATTTTGCATAAATAGTGAGGTTTTGGATATTATGGAATTGATGATTAAATAATAATCATAATATGATCAAAATAATAAGATAAAAATGTGGCGAATACAGACCCTGGTATTTACCATGTGAGAATTGTTTCGCTGTGCCATTTTGTTGGAATTCTGGGAAACTCACATGATTTTGTTTCCCATCCTGTAAAATAAACAAATAATAAACTATAATCGCATATCACGTTGAATAAACATAAAATACAAACGCAGCAGTAAATAATCCAAACATACTTTATTTAATTTCTTGCTGTGTCGCTTGTGGTGATGCTTTTTATCAGCAACGAGTCTTCTGAAATTCAGCTGCATGCGATAATTGACCTGCGTCGAAAGATCTCGATCATTGACCGCATGGCGGCTGTAACTCAATCGCCGATGCTATGTAATAAAAACACAGTGCATTAATACAACGCGTGTTGAATAATAAAAATTAGTCGTTGTTATACTTTTACCCGTTTGTAGGGCTTGCAGAGTTCTTCTGCTAGCAGATGATGAATTTTAGCGTCAGTCATATCCTTCCTTGAAGGATTATATTCCAATTCTTGCATGTCAATGTTCCATGTGCTGGTATCCAATTGACTGAAGCTCGCACTAAAAAGTACAAAATGCATACATCAGTAATTAATTTATGCATGGCGCATGCAAATCGGGTTTAGATATAAATTATATCGGTAAGTACGCATACAGGATGCAGTGCATGTTACAATATCTAAAATGTGCAGATTTATGACATTCTTATATTGAAAATAAGAAAATATGGACTTATTTCGTTTGATTACTTCACTTTTACACAAATTTAAGGTAACTCTGTACTTATACAGTCTGGTAATAAATATCTAGTGATATCGGAATGTTAATGGTTAAATTACTTTTGCAAGGACGAGAATACGAATAGATTTACATGGAAAATCTCACCAAACACATCCATGCACAAGGCAGAGTTTTTAACTACAAGTCGACTGTACGGGCACGTAAATAATTGTTCTGGCTTGAGCCGATATAATTTACCAGGTGATAATTTTGGGGGCGCACCTGCCGTTGAGGTTTCCCGCCGTATAGTTGCGGAAGATGGCCGACATGCTCTCTGTCCCGGATATGTTACCGATGGTAGATGCATTGCGGGTCATATACTCCATTGCGTCCTTCATTGCGAGTTTGGAATATGTCTCGAGGATTTTCGGCTCGGCACCTTGATGATTTCGCAACAAATACGGCCGGATAAATTTATTATCAAACCGTTTAAATCTGTAAATCAAAATAAAACATTTTATCGTTAAAGTTAAAGTTTGGTTATGAAAAGTAATTTATACCTGTCACGAACATGGTAATTTCCATGCTGGCCAACAATATCTTCAATAGCGCACATCGTGTGATCCATTAGCTGTAACAAAATAGCAAACCCATAATTTCACACACGCCCTGTTGAAGGAAGTGATAAATTTAGCACGTACCCGTTCGTGAATACGTTCGTTCATCGTAGGCTTCCGTTTCTCGGCTGTCTTCACATTGAGAATTTTAACTAGTGGCTTGATTGTGATACCCTGAATAAACACGGTGAAGTAGACGACGGCGATCGTTGTGGTCATGAACATCGGCTGCAGCGGTACCACTTTCTCGTCGATGAGTAGCACTAGTGCAAATGCGACCGCCCCTCGCAGTCCGCCGTAGGACATGACAAACTTCTCCACTTTGCTTAATTGATGCAGCCGGAACTTGTTTGCTATCCAGGTTAACACAATCACACCTGCAAACGCCATTTCACATGTTAATTATTCCTAATTGCTATGATTACAATCTCACAGCTCTTCAAAATGGCAAAATTGAAATAAATTTTTACCCAATATTCGGTACACTGAGCAGAATATGATCGTCAAGATGACGAACCATGTATTCCAATCGTGATTCCTGTTTACTGTAGCAACGCCCAAGAACATGAAGATAATCGTTTCCGATGAGCTGCTCAGCATTTTCATTGCATATTTGATGGTTGTGTGGGACTTGTGTGAAATATTCGCCTCGACATAGTTTTTCATCGTGATGCCACAGAATGTTATGCTGAAAAACCAAATTGATACAAATTTGTTTGTCTGCATGCCGGATCAATACCCGACGGCAATAAAATCATTAATTCCAGTGGAGTGCATTTCCCCACGTTGTAAACCAGTCATAAAAGTGGAATACTCACGCTAGAATGCCAGACATATGGAAAATCTCCGCGTGAAGGTACGCTAGATAAGCCATCACAAAGATGAAGATTGGTTCGATGACGCGCACCTCGTTGGTGAAGCGTGTGACAAAACCGGTAGCGAAACCCCAGAGAACGCCAATTACTGTACCCCCAATGGCTACCACAAAGAAATTTGCAAATCCAGCCAATATATCTGTGTAGATGATATTCTCAAGACCCATTTCACTGTAATGCTCAAACATGTGGTACAGCACTACTGTCACGGCGTCGTTTAACAACGACTCGCCAAATACAACAATGTACAAGATTTCATTGACTTGAATTTCTTCAAAAACAGCCAACACCGCCACTGGGTCCACAGCGGAGATGAGCGCGCTGAACAAGAACATCTCAAGCAGCGGCGTTGTACAGCTGAAAAGTCCTGTTGTGCCTACCGCCCATAAGGAAGCACCTGGTGAAAGTAAATTGGGTTGCATAAGTAACACAACTATGGTTATGTTATATTAGGTAAGTTACCTATAGTTAAGGTATTAAAAATAGTTCCTATAACGGCAAATATTAATATGGTGCCCAAATGATCAAAGAAGAGCCGATTTGGCATGAAATAACCAGCGTCCAGGATGATTGGCGGCAGCATGTAGAAGAAGAAGGTGTCAGGCGATAGTGGCGACATGTGTGCATCCGTAACGTGCACGAGAATCACTCCAATCACAACGCCAACAACAATCAACAAACAAGACTCCGGAAAGATTTCGTTCAACTTTGGTGCCATGTGAAATCCTGGAACAAATGGAATACTTAAATGTAGGTATATGTAATTACGATTATATTTGTTTTATTACATAATATAATAAATCAGAATCGCTAGCAATTAAAAGGAAACCATTGCGAAAAGTGGCCATTATCGCTAGTTTCCGTTTTAACTTTCATGTCACGTGGATTATGAGACGAGGCAAAATGGAATAATGCGACGATGGCGCCGAATCGACCGACACAAACATCCTCCGCGTTATAGAACGACCTTTCCGCACGGATTTCTAATTAATTCCCTGATTGTAATGGCTTTCAGCCCCGGGGAACGAAAATCCAATAGGAAAACATAAGAATAACCAAATATCAAAGTCTGGATAAACAGAAGCATAACATGCATGCTTCCATTGTGATTTACATATTTACTGTGAATATGATGTAAGAATAATATTATCAATGTGCAAAACGTAAGCAATCATCAATGGTTTTCGCATGTAACGTTGCATTTACGTAATAACATGAAACATAAATATTTCGTAGATAATTTTCATGCTGGTTTGTAACAATGTCATAGTTAATGATAAAAACAATTCAGCGTTATATAAATAAGTAGAAGTTTTTAATTTTAACTTACTTAAAATTCATTTTCAAAAGAAATTGCATTTATGTCCTGAAAATTGCGTAATGTAGAAAAATCCATTTATCGATTATGCGTCGATTTGAATTTACAATGAATAAATTCTCTAGGAATACCTAAGTGTAAGAAATAATTGCATTTTCAGTCAATTTTCACATGAGACTACATTCTTATCTAGAATAATTGACAGTTATGGTTAAATTAATGCATTTTGATTGAATATTTTCATAGGAAATCAAAAACAAGTTTAAAAAAATACAAAAGTAGTCAGACTAACATTTGATAATAAAATATTGCAATATTGTAAATACATACCTACTCGTATATCTTTATTATTAGTACAGAAAATAATTTTACTGTTATTTCTGTTTTTTTCTCATAATTACTCATTGTTTATGTTTGTTCAAATAGTAGTTATTCATATAAATAGCTTGATGTTTGTGGTTTAATTATTGACTCAAAGACTCATTCATTTGGTTGATTTTTGTTTGTGTTAATCAATATACTAGCAAAACACTGTCTCACACAGACAAAAATAGTAAAAGAATTGGAATGACAAAAGAAGCAAAGAAAAACAAGTAATGTGTTTTGATTACCTAATGCAGACTGAGTTTTTCCCTTATGTAACCGACATTATTCCCATATTCCCAGCGGAAAAGGAAGCTTCTATTTACAAGAGCCGCTGGCTTATTACGGCGAAACATTATCAAACTTTCAAGAATAATAAAACCAGGCATAACTGTGGAATTGTAAACATAAACTTTCTCGTATCCTTTGGAACTTCCCAATTCAGGCTTGTTTATGATCGCATTTTTAATTTACAAACAAATTAGGTAATTTTATATGAATTTGTGGTTCAAAGAGAATATGAATTGGTTCATTCCAGTGGATTATCGATTGCGATGACCAGTTTTCAAGTTTCCAAACCTCGTAGAGGTTAATTTGCCACTTTGATTGCTCTATCAAGCAGATAATATCGAAACGATGAAGACATCGCTTAGCAACGTGTGGAAGGTTCATTCCGTTCAAGGAATTCACTTCAAGATTTACTTGGAAATTGGTGTATAATGTAAATTTACACATAAATCCACCGAGATTTTAAGTTAAACGATGTTCGCTGGCATGAAAAATACATGTTCCATTTTCATTTCTGCGAATACGAATATTTCCCTTTGATAGCAGATATTTCTTGTCATCACACGAGTTGCGTCTAATTGCGCCCCGATTGCACGCGTTTATCAGAGTAATTTTGCACGCGCACGAGCAAAGACATTAATGCATGAGTTTCACGTCGGCCCCGGCTTCCAGACGGATTGGTCGCGCGTCGCCGACGATGCGGGGGCATAATTTTCCGCGGGCCGCCACCAGCCGAAGGACGCGCCACAAGGGCACCGCTCACGACAATCGATATTCCCTGACCCCCAAGCCGAATGCGATGCAGCGTTCCGCAGCCGGCGCGTGGCAGTTCTCGTGCAACAGTCGTGTATTTTTCTTTCCGAAAAACTGATCGAAACAAAAGCTGGCAGACAAGCAGACAGGAGGCGAGTAATTTCTACATATACCTATGCTCCTCGAAGATATATTACTATTGGTTGTGGATAGAGTCAGAGAATGTCAACGGTGGTGCAAGGGAAAAGTAATGGAAAACGTGCCTGACCGTGCAAGTGTTTGCATAGCGTCGGGAAATTTCTATTTACTTCTGCGGACCGACCAAACATGCAAGCAATTTAAGGATTATTGTTCACTTAGCGTAACATTACGGTCAGGCAAATGTCATAAAAATTGTTTATGGAATAGGTATTTCTTTTTTATTTTCTTTTACCGTTTCGAAATGTATTTAGGTCGGTCATCGGGCTCTTAATTACCTGCTATGAACGTGTTTTGTTCAGCAAATTCGGAGAATCGAAATTGTATCCAGTTAAGTGATTGAATGAGTATCAATTTCTCTTAATTCTAGAGTTAAACCCTAATAGAACTAAAGTGAAAGCTATTAATGAAGCAATATAATCGAGAATCTAAAAAATAAAACAATTTTCCGTCAAAATTTAGTTTCGGCGCCACCTGGTGGCCGAAATTATAAGCTTTTAGTTAATCACACTAATTTTGCTCTAAATTTTAACTTTATACTCGGAAACTGCTACAAAACTCCAAAATTAACATAAATAATAGTTGGTAGCGTTATTGTGCGACACTGTAGGGGGATTCAAAGCTCAATTTGATTGATTACATACACAATTGCAATTTCCACCACCAGGGGTCGCTTAACAACGTTGATTTAACATGTTTGATTTTCCTCGATGTAATTCCGCACCTGTCATGCACATAAAATTAATATAAAAAACTGGGCTACTCTAATTTGCGATTAATAACCTATTAATTTTCATTTTGCGTTAACAGCTGCAGAAAAACACGCAATAAAGTAGTATTTTCTTAATCTAAATCAATAAACGATTACGTTGGCGAGAGCTTATAAAGCTTCGCGGTAATGCTCTTCTCTAGCGTATCCGTGAAGCTTCTGTTTACGGCAGACATTTGTCGGCATACATATTACCCGTGTGTTGGACGGACGAGTTGAGAATGTTTCCTGCATTCATATGTATTCCGTATTCCAGCGATGCAGATGAAATTAATCGTTCTATGTACGCGTTTTATATATCAACATTGGTGAAAAGCCGAAAATAAATAAGCAACGCCAGTGTATTTGCGCGTTACGCAAAATTGTTTGAAATTGTAACGCGTTTATAGCGCAACTATGGCGTGTAAGCTTTGACGCAGTAAGTTTTTTGTATACAACAAAAATTGAACGCTAGTGTGAACGCATAAAAATATTTGGCTTTATAGTTGCGTGATTTTTCACACGCAATTTCAAGGCTTGCGTTCTACAAGTGAACGACTTTATAAACGAGCGACACGACCTTGAAAAGCAGGGAAAATCTGGAAGCCGACTTAAAATCTAAAAATATCCGATATTGCCACTCAGGTGATTCAATTTATTAAAAATATATTGACATCAAGCAAATAATGTACCTTTGATTGATGTTTGTATTAAATAATTCTGAAAATGTACAAAATTTGCCAAAATAAACACATCTTTCAGGCTTTTAATGGAATACATCTGTTTGCTTGCAATTTCGCAGGGAAAAATGCGGGTCATGCATTAACTAATTCCGCATGTCGATTTATGAGTAACTAAAGACTTGCGTGTTTGTATTCCCATGCGAAATGCGATGCTAACGTATTCATAAAACGTGCGTGGCCATTGCTGGCAAACGTGAATCCGTCGAAAACCATTGAAAGCACTCGAACTATTTATAAAATTGATGGTTTTCAGTGCGGCATGTGTAGCACGCGTGTGCAACAGATCGAGACTCAAAAATGTAGAATGCACGCGACCGGATGTAGATGGATGTAAATGCAGAATGGTAAAAATGCAATGCATTCTGTTCTTTTATTTATTTTTTTCTCTAAATTTTTCAATTTCGCCAAACGTTACACACGTTGTTGGGTAGCCGCCGATCGTGGAAACGAATCGACGGATTCAATTTCTATTTCTACAAGTTTCTGTAAATAAGATTCGTGTTTTGGATCGATTTCGACTTGAATGATCTGCATTCCCTCACAGTTGATTTTTAGGTTAGAAAATGTCTACCAAAATTAACCCAATTCGTGACGAAAAGGTTAAAGAGAGAATTAGTCGATGTACGAATAAAAATCACGTTTCACAAAACAAAATTTGCAAGTAAGATGCAAAGATGCTTAACGTCTTGAACGCCTTCTGAATATTTATCATATACGCGGGTTGAACCAAAACACAAAAAGCCAGTAATGCAGAATGGCGGCGCGTTTGTCGCGTTTAGCATTAATTTGCAACATTGTTGGTCTTATTTTCATTTTACATGAGTACAAAACCACAAAGTATCAATGTAGATGACACACCTCACAGGATATAATGAGTGCTTTGACATAATTTTATGCATGAACTCGTCAACAATGCCTGCGTTTTATTAAAACAATTAGTGCTAAAAACATAAGTAACTTCCTTTACAACAACAACACTAAACGTGATTTAAATGTATTATTGCTTAACAATAACAATAACTAATAACAACAAAACAAGACACATCCGGTGCATTGTATTGTTACAATTTTTACGATATTTTATTATTATCTAAACGTACGCATCTGCGATTCATTACATCATGATTATTTAATTCAACGGAACTTAATATAACCTCAAATATAAATAATGGAACACATGTCACATAATTTCGATTGAATATTTTGACATGGCGTAGTTTAGCAGGTGTGTGCTAGAAGCTAGACTAACGCAATTGCGAATGAAGACCGATTGACAAACGGTTCGTTATGTATGTGCTAAAAGGACGAGTCTGCGAAACGAAAGACGTGTCATGCATGCTGATGACTCAATCGACGTAGCAAAATCGTGCGAAAAACGAACGCATTTGAACCGGAAACGGAGACACGAACTATTTTCGTCCACAACATTTTATTGACTCGTAGCAGAGCAAAATTTAAGATTTACTTTATATAAAAAGCAGTAAAATTATTTATTTTATGAAGCACGTTGCGTTCTTTATTAAAAGCAAAGACACCCGCAATTCAATTGAATCTAGTTGATTCTGGAAACAATCCGAATGCGTGAATATAACGAGCAATCATTTCACATTTGCGCGACGCGCAACAACAAGTGCGCTCTCGTCGAATACATAAAAACGTGCTTCAACTGACATTTTAAGTTGGCACACTGGACGTGCAATGCATTTCTTGGCGCAGCATTCAATTAACTTTTTAATTAAAACCGCAATATTGTGGATCGTATCGGACGGGAGCGGATCTCCAGCTCATCCGCCTCTAAGCTCTTTATTGCCTAGAGCAGGCGATGGCTATGCTACCGAGTAATTAAAACAAATCATATATGAATCGTATATTTTATAGAGATCTAAAAACTTTTATTATCTACACCCGCATCTCACTAATTCTCGCCGCGACCAAAGAATGCGTTTTTAATTGAATAATTACTATGTGTTACTATGTTGTTGACGGAAATCAATTGAATTAAATTGGAATGCATTCAAACATTCTTTTTAAATCCAAAACATGCAGAAAAATGCATATGTGTATGTATGTTACGTATTAATTCCAAATCGGCTGAACGGATTTTGATGTAATTTTCAGGAAATGGGCTGATTACTGTAGAAAATAATCCTGTATAGTTTGATAACAACAATATAATACGAGAAGTATAAAATCGAAGTTGTAAATTGTTACGGCGATTTAATATGGGTTAAAATTACATAATTTGAATATAGATGGCGTTAGGTTGCACTTATTTGCATAAAACTCGCGAAAAACACCTATTTATATTATATTTTATAATTTTAACGTAAGGTCCAAAACTTTTGAAACTTTTTTATAGCTTGTAACAATTTTTAACGAGATATTCAAGTAAACATTGTTTTTGTTAATAATGTTTGACATACCGTATGTTTTATCAAGTTTACTTTTCGATATGCAACGGTAACCACGTGTAATTATGTGTTATCAGTAAAATCCGGCACCACTTCATACACTTCAACATGTTTGATTAGTTTAATTACACAAGGGAGCCAAGCAATTCATGTGTAAGCTGTACAAAACATTATAACATGCTAAACATAGAGTGAAGGATAAAAAACTCGAAACTTTATCAACCGATGGGAAATATAAAAATTAAAAATATGGTGCAATTTCATATATCTACGTTTTCCGTCTGATAATAAACACAATGCAATGTTGGAATTATAGTAGTTTTACCTTTAAAGTATATCCATAAATTATTTTTTAATACAACTCCAATTGTATTGAAATGCAATACAAACAAATCTTTCACGCTACGCAATTTCCATCAACTAAAATAAACGCGACTGCAAACTTTGAAGTGCAAAAAACTTTTACTTAGCATCTAAATTTGGAAACGTACACAAATTCAAAGTAAATATATAAAAGCCGAATGAATCCTTGACTTCAATTTGATAAATAATATTTTTCCAGTTGAGTTGAGTTTGGCCGAGCATTTCTTCACTTTATGCTCAAATATTTAATGTTTGTTACATGTTTACTGTCGCTCTTTGTGCACACAGAACATAAACGCAAAACAAAAATGTGAATCATCTGTACACTGAGTAGTAAGCTCTTTAATTTGAGAATTATTCACACATTTAATCATAGAGTGTACTAAGAATTATGTTAAAAATAATTTAGTCACATAAACCTTTAAATTACTAAGAGCTTTAAACATGTCTGATAACAATTCGCGTAGTGATAATATAAAAACAAAAGATATGTTATAAAATGACGTCTATCCAATTATCATGCAGATAAATATATAAAACTAGCAAAAATTTGTTTGTTTTTAGTTGATGTGTAATTAAACTTTGTGCAAATTGATTTTTTATAGCTCTTTTCGTTATTTGCAAATAGTTAAATATTCCGCGTATGTAATTATCTAATAAGTGGTTAATTTAAACTTAAATATTAACCAAACAAAAGTTATTATTATAAACATGACGTAATAAGTAAACAAACCGAGGAAAATTTATTATTGCAACAACAATGTAAATTAGGCCCTGGCGAGATAGTAACTAAGTCCGTCATAAAATTAGTGTGTATAGAAATATCGCAAATAAAAGATGAACTTTACTGACATATGTGTACACAATTCTTATGATGATAAGGCTATATCAACTGTAGTTCGCTCTGTAATTTGATAAATGCATAGTTTTGGTATTAAAAATGCCAAAGGTAAAATGTTCCCGTAGGTAAATACAAAAGAAAAAAATCAATGTCTTGAAAAAACGTCTAAACGCGTCTTTAAGTGGGTGAAAAGAAAAAAATAAGTTAGTTTTGCCTCCTGCACTCCAACGACCGCATTTCGTCGACTGTCAACGGAAGTTTTTGTTAAAAATCGATGCGTTATCGATTCAAAATCAATTTTCTGTTATGTCCGAGCCCACACGCGTTTGTTGACGTCCTGTGACCTTTGGAAGCGTTACGTTTTGTTCTGGTTTTTAGTATGTCAAGGGGTTATATTTATATTGATTCACCGGCGGTTTGTTATGCTGGCATAATTTTCTAGAGGGCGATTCTTGACGGCTTACCTATTTTCGCCAGACTGGCGCAGAATATCCACAACCCGATGATGAACGGCACCTCCACTCGAGCGAAGGATACCGAAGCGACTTGGTAGCGCTGTGTTTCCTTCTTAGCGGTGGTAGTGGACTCGGCATCGCCTTCAGCAGTAGTTGCACCGCTGCCGTCTCCTGAAGTGGTGGTCATCGGCGACGTGGGCGCGGACGCCGAGCGTTTCGCCGCCGCCGGCGTGTCCTTACTGGGACCCATCGGTCCAAATTGCAGGCCATTATAGTTACCCGCTGGACCGACTGCATCTTCGCCGGCGACGCTTTGAGCTCGTGGAGCAGCGACGCATGCATCTAAGCAGCCAAGCGCGATGGCCAGCAGGAGCAGCGTCCTCGTCGGCGGCGCGTCTCTGCACGCGCGCCGCGAGAGGTTTACTCCGTGTCGCAGCAGGTACATATCACATATGGGCTAACGCGCGCGTGTCTGGAGGACCGCCGTCGCCGAAAGTCGTCGTGACTATGCTCGGGCAGCAGGAGCGGCGGCAGGACGCACGCATCGCACACCTGCCGTGGAGAGATTACTGCCGAGTCCAGACGAGGGCGTCGCGCGAGGCCGACCAGCTGACACACACGCACCGAAGAGCCGGCGGGACGGCGCCCGAAATGTGCGCAATGAAACGTCCCCCGTTCGATGGTCCCACCACGCACGCGCACACTTTTCCGCAAACTCCTCGACGTTTTCCATCCACAAACGGTGCCCTTTGCGTTTAGTTATCCTTCAAAACAATCTCATTCACACTACTTTTAAGTTCAAAGTTTATATTTTATACTCTACTAATCACCATGGCAACGCAAAAATTTAAAAAGTAAAATTTTAACTACGCAACCACAGGCTTTATGTGCCACGACAAAACTGACAAAACAAAATGATAAACGGCCAACCAAACGACCGGAGGGTCACACTTCGATTGATTACATTACCCGCACTATGTTTAAACAATTTCCATACTGAAATACGCGTCGTGACGTTAATCGTTTGCTACAGTTGACGATTTCATTGTCACACGCCGAGTTTTTGCGCACTGAGTCGCGTCCACTGTTGTTGTTTTTAATGTTTTAATTAAAGTTAACTATGCAACTTGGGCATACGTAGCTTTATTCATTCGAAGTAAAACGCGCGTGACGAGATAGCGCACGTCGTAATAACTTGTGGCTTTACAAATCGAACTGCCATTTGTGCGCTCGCATTTCGTATGTAATCGTCTTTTTGCAAAACAGTCGCACATGTCGTGCTAATCAAACGCATAACTGAAATACATGTGTGGATGCTTGAGCGGGGTGGGAAGCCCAAGCGATTGGGGTGCATGTGAGCGTTCACCTTCCGTGCGTGCGATCGAACACGGATGGAATGGTTTTGTACTGATAGAAAATCGAGGCGGATGGTAAAACGCTCGAAGCGACCCTATAAATAGACGACGACGCGAAACTAGATTGAAACGAAGGGTGAACGGTTCCCTAACGTTTCCCCTAGGTGTGTGTTCGAGAGTGTAATGCACTCAGAAATAAACGTGTTTCAAACTTTCATTTATAATGTAATACTGCTTTAAGCAATTGTAACAGTGTTACAAATAAATTTGAAGAAGAGACAATATTTTCATTTCTTGATATTATATACGATTAAAGCTAAAACTGGACAGATATAAGCGTATTAAAGTAGTTTCGCAATATTTGAAATAGTGAAAAAAACGTTTGATTTACGATTGATGACTTTTTTATTTTTTCCTTTTCCCATTAACTCTACGCAGTACTTTTGCAATCTTAAATTGTTCATTTTGTTTTAATTTTGTTTCTGTTTCGTACTTTCATCCACAGACTGCGCTAGTTGTCGTAAAAGAACATAAACTTGAATATTACTTATGATAAATATTCAACTCGTCTCAAAATAAGATTATGAATGATACAGAACCCGTCAAAGAATACTTTTGCATGGCACATTGATGTAAATACCTTCTTGACGTACAAATATGTCGGGTGTAGTGTTTATTGTAACATTTCCGAATGAAGATCATGAAAGTTTTGTAAAAACCATCACCAAGAAGAAAGTTGTGATTGCAGAAGCAAAGAATACCACTCATGAGTTATACGCGTGCACACCACTTCATAAATCTCAAGAAATATTTGGTAAATTCACACCTAACATTTCGCCCATGATGGTTTCACCTATACCAGCCGGATATGAATATATTTCGATGGAAAAAGTACGTTACCTTTCTGTTTCTCGTAAACTGAACAAATATTAATAATTTATTATTATTCTTAGTTAATTAAAGATATTTTATCCATACACAAACTCGAAAGTAATGCATGTTATCATCAAATCGATGACAATTACAAGCAAGTTATCTTTAGTGTGGAAGAAGGTGAGAAATGTGAAGAAATTTTGGATGTTTTAAAAGAGCATAACGTTGGGCAACTGTACGAATCAACGATTAGTATTATTCCGTGCAGTTTATACCAACACGCTGCAAATAGTGGAGAGATTGAGAATACAGGCGAAACCAAAAATGTGTCAGCGTAAGTTTTAACCACTTTAAGTAAATATAAAGTGATTAATGAAATTTTGTAGAAATACTGTTTGTGATACTGCTTGGGTCCGATTCGTAAACTCTGTCCGTGCCCGTTTGACTGTGGCGCAACTTGTGGAGGTCCTGAAAGCAGATGCATCGTTTACTTTTGAGTATATATGTCTTCTTACCTTAGCAGCGTAAATAATCCAATATTAGAAGATAAAACTTATATTTATTGATTAAAATATTTCAGTTTAATATGCGCAATCGGATTGGTCGAAGACAGCGACATTAGCTTATTCTCCAGCATGTTCATATGTCCAATGATGGTAACTAATCATCAATTTATTTACACCGTTTGATCATTATTTCGGTGACCAAATTGTAGGGACCCGTCTTAGCAGGAACCTTTGGCTATGTAATCCGGGATAGTGTGCTGCAGGTAACAGGAATGCAGAGCGAATTATTCGGAATTGGATTAGCGACCCTTGTGGGTTTCTGCTACGGTGTAATTATCTGTCTGTGCACAGACAAATACGGCTCGGATTGGCAGCCTACTAGCGAAATGATGTCCAGAGGAGATGTATACAACCTCGGAAGTGGTTGTTTGGGCGCTGTCTTATCCGGTGCGGCGGTTGCCATTGCTATTCTTAGTCGGAATTTTGCTTCATTGGTGGGCGTCGCAATTTCTATTTCTTTGATGCCACCTGCGGTAAATGCAGTAAGTTAATCTTTTTGTAATTTGAAAAAGATAATCTTGCAATTATTGTAATTTCTAGGGACTTCTATGGTCATTAGCTACTATTTACTATATCAAAGACTATTCTTCTCAGAATAGATTTCATGAACTTCTTTCTTTGGGAGCAGTTAGCATGTGCTTAACGCTGATTAACATAATTTGTATATATTTGGCAGGAATTCTTATATTCAAGGTAAATTGAACTTGCTCCAATGTAACTTAACAAAATGTTAATTTTTCCCAAAAATTCGTTTAGATTAAAGAAGTGGCCCCCGTAAAAATGAAGAACGAACATCGCCGAAAATTCTGGAAGCACGACGTACGTATAACTCGCGATTATAACAAAACTCTACAAAAAGAAGAAGCCGTAGCTATGCAAGCACAACTTAATGAATTAAAGCGTAACAGTCAAGCACACACCCAACTTTCACCCGATAATTCAAAAGACAGTAAAGACAAGAGTTTTCCGCGTTCAGACGGTAACAAATCAAATCATTCAGTATCATCCTGTACGATTGTCTCCAAACGTCCTACTATACAAGAACTACAAGAATTGTACAATAATATAACACGTGAAAACACTTCAGTGTGCTCCATGGGATCATCTAAACGATTGGCACCTATCATTGACAGAGATTGCATGGCATCGCCACAATTGATGACTGAAGTGGTTATTTCAAGTGCAGCCGCAAGTGAACATGGTGATGTAGCGTGCGGAACAAAAAAGAAGTTTACTGTCACTCCTTGCATTCTTGATTTGTAAAATGTTATTATTACCTCAATTTTTATTGTTTTACTTTTCGGTAAAACATGCCATTTTAATCGTTTTGTTTTCTCTAGTGCCTTTTATATATATTTTAGTACCCATTGTAGCACAATGAAATAACTAATAATTATAAATATTTTATTGTTCTCATAAGCTTCTTTTCATCATACAAAAAACCACAAAACCATAAATTCATGAAAAGAAAGTTACGTTATCATCGCTTTACAAAAAAAATATCCAAGTTCATGGAACTATAGCATACCTGGAAAATCACATCCCTGCATATCATTTGTTTGTTTGTCAGTTGTTCGTCACAACAAGTACGAGTACACAGTAAGTCATAACAATTGTTTCTTTTACTTTCAAATTTTCGCATAGATCAACTTACAAATATCAAAGTCGCGATTTGAATGATGTTTAGATTGATGGATGAATAAGTTAATGTGAGGTCAGTCATGTTACTCCACGCTGCTTCTGCCCTCCGTTTAATCGGCACGTGTGGTTTTGCGTTGTCTAGGACTCTGTTTCGGTGATTTCGTTTGCTTTGCGCCTTGTTTCGGCGATTTTGATTGTTTTGGTGATTGTTGCAGCTTATCTGAAAGTAAATTACATTGTTTAGCAATGTTATATTCATGCGAAGAAAATAATAAATGTATCCAGTGAAAAACTTACTTATGTTAGCCAAAGTTTGTTTGGGCAACCATTCGAAGTCAACATTGTTGGGGTTGTTGGTGCCAGTCTCAACTGGAGTTGGTTTGCGATTGGTCCTCTTACGACCAACAGAAAGCAGCGTTTGTTGACCGATCACCAAGAGCAACACAACGCCGGCAGCCAAAAATACGTACAGGAAGAATGTTTCACCGTCAAGACCTAAAGGAACAAAGTTACTGTTAATTTCTGACATTTTACAAATGACATTGAATGTATTTTTAGTGTCAGTTGATAACCAAATGACAAGAACGCTAATGTACCTTCTTCCAATTCAACAATTTGTACAGTTTCATTGTAGACAGCTTCCTGGAAATATCCTCCAGCGCTATCTCTGTAATTCAAGTTGATGTTCAAGCCGAATGGGCGGCCAGCAAAAGCCTCAGCTGGGACAAAAGTGTATGACAAAGTAGCCTCCTGAGATGGAGCAACTTCCTTGTTGTAACCAATAGCTGAGAAGTTCTGGATATAGAAATTGAAGTCCATTGGATAACGGAAGGAGGCTTCAATCGTGTCCAAAATGAAGTCGTTCTTTCCCTTGTTACGGAAACCGATCAGGAACTCAACTGGCACGCCAGCCGGTAATTCTTTATGCAAATAAAATAGAAAATTAAGAGTCTTGTCACTAAAACATGGCTTTCAATTTCTTACCCATTTGAGAGGGTCCAGTTACAACGGGTCGAATAAATAACAGATTTGTGTCGGCGTCTGGTGACGCCTTTGCTTTTGAATCATCTTCTTCTTCCTCTTCTGTGGCAGTAACTTCAACATCTCCTTCTCCTTCAACATCAGCTTCTTCTTCCAGGGGGTCTTCATCAGCATATGCCATCATTCGATGTCCTGAATACAAAACCACATATATTAGACTCATAGCAACCCTCAGCAATTTCACACCACAGAAACAATTAGAATTCATTTAAGATTGTATGATAAACGAGTCTATATGGCACAATGCATGCCACGTCTTCTCGAAAGGTTATCCTGCCGCGAAACGTTTGTAATGAATTAAAAGCATTGCAGAAATAAACTTACCGCCATCGATTGTGAAGATAACCGCCGGTAAGACCAGCAGGGCCAGAAGGAAGAAGTTTCTCATCTTTACAAATTATTTACAGAGAAAATAACACCAAACGATAGGTGAACAAGCACCGAACAACGACCGAATCTGAATAGGAGAAACACCGCAACGAGCGTTGCGCGAGTTGTGTGATACGTGGAAGTTCTGCGGACACATGGCACCCCCACCAAGGAGCTATGAACGCGTTACGTGTTGACTCGACGCTACGTCGCGCTACGTCACTTTCTCAAGTTGGAGTTGTATGCGAATGTTGGCATCTAGTTTATTCATGCTTCAAATGCATATTTTATTTTTAAACAATTTTATTATCCAATAACATGGCCGATTGTTTGAATAAATATATAAAATTAGATGGAGAGAATTATATATTTGGTGTAAAATTGTACTAAAATTTGCTTTTTTTTATTTGAATTAATTGAAATATGGCGGTTTTGAATGCTTAATTCCGAAAAGAATTCTACAAAAGTAAAGAATCACAAGTCCGTTTTGTATCAAGTCTTTTTGTTTTCCAGATATTTGCAATGAAAGTTTAAATGGTTTCAATCGTTATTCATTGTTTTGAAAATTTCACTGTCTTTTGTTTTACATTTATAACAAAACTAGACAGCCATGAAAACTATAAATAAAAACATATCTTGTTTATCAAATAAATACGTCATATTATCTTATCACAATCAACTGACAACTGAACTATCACAAATACAAATTTCATAATCTATCAAAATGCCTCCAAGGAAGAGATCCAAGGCACAAGTAATAAAAGAAGAAACAGCTACAGAAGGTGATGTGGACGATGATTTTCTCGAAAGGTTTGCAGAAGAAACCGGATGGAAATCCGTTCTCCTATATCAATACCTAAGTGGTTACATTGTGATGGTTGCTGTATCAGCCCTAACAGCAACTGCAATGTCCTGGTTAGAAATGATGCACGTTATCATCACCCCTGAAGTATCAAAAGCTGAACAAGCAAAAACCTATTACTTTGACTGTACGTACAGTTTTAAATATTCATAAAATATCCGTAAACGTTTTTCCTTCCATTTAGCAATTATATATCTCATGGATTTTGTGTACGCTGTGGATATAATATTCCGAATCCTATATTACATAACCCCTTGGCCCAATATGAAGCTGTTCAATGAACCGGTACCCATTGAATACATTATCATCGACGTCATATCCGTTATCCCTTATGATCTTATGTACAAAGCCGTGCGGAATACGCCATTAATAATAGCGACTCTACGCTTGCGCGTTATGCTCCGCTTGTACCGCATTGCAACCTCACTGAGTCAACTGAACAAGATGTTCCATGAAGTATCTATTTTAGCAACCATTTTATGGAGTACATCATTGATGCTTCTATTTATTATTATTCCATCGTCGATTCATTACATCATCTACTGCACGTATGTAAAATGCAGCAATCGGAATTACGGAGCATTTATTAAAGCATTTTCAACGGCATCGAGATATTTGATGACAAATGGCGCTGATTTTAAAGCGTTTGAAATGACACATATTTACCACATGTACAGCGTGGCTGCGATTATTTATTTCGTGGCCACGATGTTTATTGTTGCTGATTTGGCTTGCAAAAACATAAATCGCTTGAAAGCAATTTATTGCTTCATTCATGACTATCAGAAAACAATGAATTTATATAGTTTTATGAAGAACTTTTACAAGAAGGAATGGGCTTTTGAAGATAATCAACTCTACTTCACTTTGAAGGATTATTACTATCATTATTTAAAACAAAGAAATGGTATATCCGCGGAGAAGGTTTTACATAAAGTTTTACCTGAAAGTATCACCAAAAGTATCATCATGGATATGGCATTTGACAGCTTTCGACATTCGCACATTTTCAGATATTTAGATTTACACATTGTCAGATTTCTAAGTACATTAGTGCGATTTGAATTTGCTGTGCCAGGACAAGTCATAGTCCGAAAAGGTGATTATTTTAACCGGATGGTTTATATAAGTCATGGCGTGCTTCAGATTTTATCACACGAAGATGGCGAGACACCTGTATTGAATTTAAGCGGTGGAACTAGTCTAGGTGAGACCACACTTTTCCTATCCTATCCTTTAAACTGCACAATCATATGTCAAACATATTGTGAACTTGTTGTAATTGACAAGAATGTAATCAAACGCATGATTGACTACTACCCAAATGAATATCGAGAGTTGGTTAAGTCAATTATGGAACGCTTCGAGGATGCAAAGCGATTGAGAGCTGTGGTACGAGAAAGAATGGATCCACATCTAATCAAAAGTGATTTACTGATTATGTCGTGGATTAAACAATTCCAACGATGTTTTCTGCATGATCTAGAAGGACTTGGGACTTCATTGGATAATAAGATACGAGGTTTACAATATTACATGGATAATCTTATCTTTTATGTTGCTTATTTGGATAAGTTGGTTGTTTCCGAAGAAATTGAACTTGTGAAAGATTCTGTTTTTCTGAAGGCAACTTTTCACTTCATTCTACAACCACAATCACCGATTTTGATTGTGTGGAACATTGCAGTCTTGTTGATGACAATCTTCTTTATAATTATCTATCCGTATAATTTATGTTATCCTATATCCAATCGAAGTATTCAGACAGTTTTTACCATTTTCGTCACGTGTATTTTTTGGCTGGACATTTACCTACAGATTTTTACTGCTGTGAAGACACGTGGCGCCACCTACTTGAACTTTAAAAGTATTTTGGTTTATCGACTTCGCCAAAAAGAGTTTTTGATTGATTGCTTTGCTGCGTTACCTTTGGAATACTTTATTATATTTCTAACTGGACAAATGCCAGACGTGGTGTTCATGTTCCTGCAAGCCAATCGTCTGGTGAAATACTATAAGCTGTCATGCTTCTTTGACGATATGAATATTTGGAGTACCAATATGTTGACAGCATTTAACTACATCAAATTCATAATGCACTTTTTATTCTTCTACTACTATGCGACAATGTTGATTTATATTTTCAACTGTTACGAAAACGTCTGCACACCAGAATTTGAAGCGATGTTAACCAGATTAGAAGCGAAATCTGGTTACAGAAAAATAATGGCTGTTAGTCCATTGGCGAATGCATTAATTACTGGTGTTATCATTGGTCAAATGCCACAAACAGAAAATCCTTACATTTATTTGGGTTATACTGTGATTGCCGTCTTGGGATATTTAATGAAAGCTCTGTTTCTTGTAAATGTAATATCGTCAAGTGCCTTGCAGAATTATATACTTCTCAAACAGCAGGAACAATTGCTGGGCATAGCCGAAGCTTTAGAATGGTTTGAAGTATCTAAATCGTATCGTATTGGACTCCATGGATATCTCAACACGCTCTTCTACTTCAATTCAGACACTTACAAACATTACAACGATATGGTTTTACCTCTTGAACTTGGAGCATCCTTTCGGAATCTCCATTTGACGCGTATACTAGGAAAAAATCAATTTTTCAAAATGATATCGACGAATCTCGTAAGTTTTCTAAGTTCATCGTTGAAACTTGTTATAATTCCGGCAAATATGGTTGTTTTCTACTGCGGACAAGCAATTGACGAGTGTTATATCATTCAGCAAGGATTTTGTACAATGTGGTACGGTAATTTGCGTCATGATGTGACTGTAAATGAAAATTTGGGTCTGGTTGAAGTGCTTTTGGATGTTCCCATTTTTCACACAATTGTCACACGCACTGATTGTATTTTACTACAAATATCCAAGCATGAGTTACAGCGGTTTTTCAGTAACTTTGTAAAGGAATCTGAAAGAGTTTACAGTGCTCTTAGTGAATTTGCTAGATGTGAACAACTTCTAAGTCGCAAAGCGCAAGTAATTACAAGCGACATTGAAGAACAAGAACTGAATAATCTATTTCAAAATGCTGATGCTGAAGATGAAGATAAAGTTAAAACTACTACAATGATCAAACGATTTTTGCAACGAAGGCGAAAGATTTCGTTCCGTATAAAAATAATAAGCACTACCGGTCGGTTTTTGCTCATTTGGGAAATAATCAAAAATTCTGCATTGGTGTTAAGTTTGGGATACACTGGATTTTTGGCTTCTACATCAACAGCAACTGTAAATTTTTACGTTTTGCTCTTTTGGATTTTTTCTGCTTTGCTGATATCATCATTCGCTTTGGAGTGACATATTATGACAGGAATGGTTTTGAAATTAAAAGACTTGCCAAGACCTCTCTACACTACCTAACACACGCTTTCCTGATTGATTTTATTGGTTCCTTCCCGGTTGATCTATGTATTCCGCAAGGCGAATTAATTTTCACACGTCTGAATCGTTACCTATTGACTTACCGGATTTTTGGACTTGCTTACTACTTGACAAAGCGTGTGAAGAAGGTTCGACAGTATGTATACATTTCCCATTTGATCATATTCCTCTTATTAACTCAAAACCTGGCAAATTATTACGTGAGCTTATTGTGCACACGTCTTAACGACGATTTAACATGTGCCAAAGATTCTTGGGTAAGTCTATCAATTGAAAACATCCAGCAACAACAGATACTTTTCGAATCGCTCTTGTATCTGCTCAGCATTTTCGTCGGCGTCGGTTTTCGACGATATAGAAATGTTAGCTTAATACAACGATTTTTGCTATCTCTTTGGGGAATTTTTGGTCATCTGATGGGGATTATTATAGTAGGACGTGCAGTTTCGTATTACTTATTCAGAAATGCAGATCTCACAACTTACCAAGATGCCATGCGTGACTTAGTACGTTTTCTAAGCTATTGTGACATTGACAAGAATATCAAATACGAAGTAATTCAACATTTTGAATACATCTGGGAGAAACGTCAAGGAAAAGACATAGCTGACGTGATTTACAACTTTCCCACTTCTATCAAAAAAGATGTACTCTTTAACATTTATGGAAAATACTTCAGAAAAAACGAAAGTGTTTTCAATTACGCTGAAGACAATTTCCTTAAAAGTTTACTAATGATTGTCAAACAAGAGACATTCAGGAAAACTGGTATAATCTACAAAGTTGATGACATTCACGGACATATTTTCTTTTTATTGAAAGGAAGTGTTGAAGTTGTCGGACCTGACTCCAACCGTTTATTAACATTGGCATCTGGTAGTTTATTCGGATGTTTAGATGATTGTAATGAGACAAGGCAAACTTTAACAATGGTTGCCAAAGGACACGTTGAAACACTGTCATTTTCAAGTGCCGAATTTTATAAACTCTTGAATCAACATCCGAGTTTTCACGCTAGATTCTTTGCGAAAGCCAATATGCACTTTGACTTTATTCCAAGTCAAGCTGTATCGGAACAAGATGCGGGACCAACTGAAACTCGACGTAGTTATGCTCTGATGAACATGAATCTGATAATGGACAAAATGTCCAAACTACGCACACGCGTTATGAAACCGAATAAGCATATACAACGTTTTGAGCTTACGCTGTTCATTATTGAGTTTTTCTTTGGATCCGCTTACGAATTGATCCTAATGACCATCAAACCAACATTAGGTTTCTTGATGATAGCTTATATACGTGATGGTTTGTGGATGATAAGAATGTATATAAAGTTTCACGTTGCTTATGAAGATGAGTATGGTATGTTGCAGTTTAGCAGAAGGAAAATTGCTCTGCGTTACATTTTTGATCCATTTGGGTTTTATTTCGACTTGTTTTGCATTCTGCCGTTTGATAGCTTTGCCCTGCTTATATACGATGATATTTTGCGAGAGAATTTAACGTTTTTGTTTCGTGTGAATCGATTTTTCAGATGTATTTATCTATTTTTGTACATGTCACGAACAACGAAGAAACTCAACATTAACGTCCTACTGATGAGAACTGGTTATATCATAATGCACGCATATATTTATGTGATCATCAAATTTATCGTGTACTTCTGGAGTGAGACATTTTTGATTAAAGACAAGACCAAGACCAATGATCAATTGATTCTACACTCTATGAATTACTTGGATACCATTTTGTTTATGTTTACAACATCGCCGATTCCGTATACGGAGTTTTTCAATGGTTGGGCTCCGGTCACACTTTGTCTGATCATATGTTTAGACACTTGCTTCCTGGTATTTTTCTTCAGTAATTTTGCTGGCACCTTGCAAGTGGTGACGAAAGTTAAATCGAAATATTTAAGCATTTGTTATAATCTGAAACTATTGATGTTGATTTGTGATGCGTCGACGCCATTAATTGACAAAGTGACCATGTACACTAATATCCTTTTAAGGATCCGCAATGGAATACAATTTCCTTTTCTGTTGGAGCAGGCACCTTATTACTTACGAGAAGCAGTGCTGAATTCAATGTTTGGATTTCATTTACGAAATCATTATTTATTCAAAGATTGCCATATGGATTTCTTGAGACAGTTATCTGCAACAATGAGGACTTTAACCTATTTTGAAGGCAATCAAATATGTGATGCAGGAGACATTGATGAAACTATGTACTTTATACAAGAAGGCGTTGTTCAGGCGTTGACTAAAGATACGTTATACACTGAAGTCTGTGAGCATTTGCTTGTGGCAGGCGAAAGTTTTGGATTGAATCAAATATTGTACCCTAGATGTGGACAATATTATGCATACAGAGCATCCGTACTTACCACATTGGTAACTATCAATCGAACTGACTTCGTTCGTTTACTTGCATTTTTCCCAAGTGTCTTGAAACACATCTACAATCGATCAATTGAATTTGCAAGTTAAACATCTTTTAAATCAATTATTTATTTTGTAATTATATACCAGTATATGTTTATTAAAAGTTTTACGCTGTGTTGATTTTGTTATTTTTTAGCGAATTTAAAATTGCAAAACTTGACATTGAATATTAAAAGTGTTATGAAGTCTGGAATGTAATTTATGATTGTGGCGCATATTAGAATTCAATGGTTTTAAATTGACCTCTATGACATTGTGCATTAATAATTCTCACAAGATTATAAAACATCTTATTTATTTAGGTGAATAACAATACATAGTGATAAAATTAATTTCATATAAATAGCGGACTATCAAACCATTGGAATAATTTACCTTTTGTTGGATCTGATCTATATTCGATGCATTTTCCTCTGTAACAATTTAATAAGTTAATCACAATAAATTAGTTGTTGCATTGTAATATACCTTGAATAATGAATGCATCCAGATACAAAATAATCCTCTTTGAAACACTGTGGTCCAAGGATAGAGAAATATGTGAATCCAATTTTACGTGCAATCATATCAGTTGAATTTTTCAAACAACTGTAGAATTCATTATCGCAGTCACAATGTGATCTAAAAATGTTTATTTGTAGTTTCTGAGGCATTGTAAGACAATTTACACCAACCTGGTAAATAATCCAGTATTGTGTAGACCAAATTTAGTTTCTCCTGCAGGAATAAACTCGAAACATTTATCATGCGCACGACAACACTTATCTGTGTCTTCAAATGTTCCCAAATCATCATCGCTTTTTGCTTTATCACCATCTCCACACCATCTTGTACCTTATAAATCAATCCAAATAAAATATTAATGCAAAAACCGAATTAATTTATGTTGTTACCTGGATAAATTGCTTTTATATGATGTTTAAAAGAATCAGCAGGTCCAGAAAAGAAGCTTGAGTTAGTATCCAATCCTGTGGTATGTGTAACAAAATTGAATGCTTTACTGATTCGTGATGCAGCTCCAGAAGCTACACTCGCAGCCGCATTGATAAAAGGTTTTATAAGTCGTCGGCCAAACTCGTGAGTGCCTTTTTCTTTGCTTTCTATTTTCAATGTTGGATCATCAACTTGCTCAATTTGATCTATATTCTGTGACGGATCAATTTCTTCCATTACATTACCATCGTCAAATTTAAACTTCAAACCTCTTATCCAACTTGCTAAATGAAATCCTTTATATTGCATATTTTGTTCAAAATGTATTAATTTATTAAAAATGGAAACATTTGATTATATATAGTTATAAATTTTATTTATTACTTACTTTTATTATCATCCCCTGCATGAGTTTGTTGTATCCCAATGACCACAAACACACACACAACAATAGCTATAACAAGAAATAAAACTTGAAATTATAGTTCATCAAATGATTAAACAAATTACTCACTAGTTATTCGTAGGTGCTTCATATTTTCGCAATAATGCTGATGTTACGTATCGGTCTTAATTGGTCAAGTGCGAATCGTCAACTGAATCTAAGCATTTCGCAGCAAATTAATTTATATACATTTGAATGGAACTCAGGAACGTACTTCTTCTTATTACCACAATACAAGACGCAAGATGTTCCAAGAACATAATTATTCAGTTCGGAAATTTCCGCGATTAATTGTGGTCAAAAAAGAAAAATTTCTGCCTTTGGGAAATTTGATTGTCAAACAATCGTAACTGGCTATAAATACCACTCTGTTTTTTTGTAAAACAACCTTCTAAACACTGCCGCGGTTGACCATTACCATAATGAATAATCGGAAAGCAAAAAAACCTCACTTTACACACGGTTTTTACCTAAAACGCTTAATGAACAACAAAAATATATATGATAAATTATTGTCATCAGGAACTAAACGATGGATAATTAAATTATATAATTGAATGTGTTAATAACTCTTATTAACAAATAATTTGGGTAATTACCGCTTATTTTAATGTATATAGGTAATTGTATACAATTCAAATCGGTAAGCACTCGCGACATTCACGCGACTTGTGATCATGTGGTCTATTGTTCGGTTCTGTTTGTAAATACAATTTACTTTGTTGTGTTATTAATTTGAAGGAAATGACCTGAGTGAATGTATACCTAGGTCTTGAAGGTGACAACCACCAATGACTTATTACTATTATTGTTATTATTTATTGGAGTTGCTTACTGCACACAAAGAGAGGAAATTAGATTTTAATTGATATAAATGTTATTTAATAACTTATAGCATGTAACTTAAGATTCAGTAATGTCAAAGTTAAATTTAAATTCGTTATTTGAAGGCACATAGTTAAAATTGCCAGTTATTTCTTTATTATTCTTATCCATTATACCATTTTCCTTGTGTTCTTCACTAATTGAGATGGTTGATACATCTGGAACATCATTATTTGGAGTAGGAAAATTAAACTTAAAGTCTTTTCCAGACTTTGCAAAAATTGACTTTCTAAGAAACATTGAATTTTTGCTTGGGGTTGCAGTTGTTACTTTTATTCTGTTGGCATCTAGTATCAAAGAAAATTATTTATTTATTATAAAGAGTAAATATGTAATAGGGTCATACTTGATTGTGTTTGAAACTTTTTGTTTTCAGCCTCCATTTTAGCTCTATAATCACCAAATGTCATTCTCATAACTTGTCTTTTCTTGATGATTGGTGCACTTGTGCTCATTAAGGTGTTAAGAACTTTTTGCTGCTCCTCCACTGAAATAATAAATCTTATTTTAGTAACCTAATTAACCAAACCATATGTAAAATGTTTTTGTCTTATATACTTTGTTTTGCATTAAGTTTTCCATTTTTAAGACTTGTTTGTAGCTGTTGAATGCACCAGCAAAGCTCAAGCTCAAATTTTTGTGCTAGTTCAGAGTTTGGGTCTCCATCTAATACTGTGGAAGTGCCTGCGGATGTTGATGCTACTGGCGTCGTCGCTTTTGGCAAACTTTTACATTTACCACTGCTTCCATGTAATTGTATTTTCTTTTTCACCATATTTATTTGTTATATTTAAGAAGTAACCAATTTACTTGAACACCTAACCATGTGGTTCTTAATAAACAAAAATAGGCAACCAATGCTACACTACAAAATGAAGTACAATAATGCACAAATTCAAATCAGGTATTTATCCCCTTTTAATTCAAAAGAACAAGGTAAATATTGGTGTGTATATTATTTATTTTTTAAATTTGTTTATAATTAGTTTCATTTCTAGACGCAGTATGTTTACAAGTCACTTCGGACGCCAAATCCTGGGCCTGGTGGTTCACCCTTCAAAGAAGTAGGCTCTCCCAAAGGTTCAGCAGCCATTCGTCCATTCCTATGCATATGAAAGTTAAACTTACACAACAACATATCAAAAAATAACAAACGTACCATGGGCCCGCCCTTGGTTTCTTTCCAGATTTCAATTCACTTAAAATCTGTTGGGTGTCTTGAACTGTCAAATCCTCCTATTTATATAAACAATTAGTAAACAATAAAAACTTATTTAATATTATTTGCAAACTTACATAATAATCATCATTAATTTGAACCATAGGTGCATTTACACATGCTCCCAAGCATTCCACTTCAGAGATAGTAAACATGCCATCTTTTGTTGTCTCACCAACTTTAATATTCAAATCTTTCATGATTGCCTCCAAAATTTCATCAGAACCGCGAAGCCAGCAGGGCGTTGTGGTACATACTTGCAAATGATATTTACCCATGGGTTTTCTAAAGGCAAATAAAAATAATTTATGCTCCAAAGAAGAATTTTTGACAATTTCTTAAAATTACCTCATGAACATGGTATAGAAGGTAGCAACTTCATACACTCTCATATTGGGCAAATGCAGGATTTCTGCTACTTTATGCATGGCAGCAATGGGCAGCCAACCATGTTGCCTCTGAGCCAGGTCTAGAAGAGGAATCATAGCTGCTCTCTTGTGGCCATCAGGATAAATGGCCAGAATTGCTTCTACCCTCTACAAGAGGATTCATTAGTACCTCAATAAATACAGCAAATAACATGCTCTGCTTAATTTACCTTCTTGTTGTCTTCTGTAAATTCAAAAGACATAGCCTGGTTGTCATCAGGACTGTCTCTGTGTACAAATAAGCTATCATGCTGTACTGCATTTGTTGTCCTAAGAGCCCTTGAATGGATCCCATTCAACTTGAAAAGAGTACAGGTTATATTATGTAATAAAGTGCTGGAATACCACAGATTAAGTAATAAATTGCTGTTGGTAGACTCACAAGGCGCTGAGCGGCAGATCGAACGCTGGATAACATCGTATCCTGTTTTTATTTCTCTTTTCTGGAGAATAATATCAGCTGTGTATCAGCTGCACCAAATGACATATAGGACCAAATTTTAAAAGATTAGGAGTGGGGGGATAACATACTTTTTACTGTTTGATATATTTTATCAATAAATAATTTATTTGTTTACAAATTAGTAAATATTTACCCCACAAAATAAGCTTTTAGAATGATAAGGTAATTATTAAAATTTGTACAAGTGTTCAATTAGTTTGGATTGGCAACGTGGAAGGAAAATATTTGAAAACAATCACGGATTTTAAACTTGGCAACATTGATTTTGCCACACATGTGGATTTTGTTTAAAAGCATTTAAAAGCAAGGGTGCTCATAATTTGTTAGTCAAAAGTTCAATAAATACGGAGTAGCAATGGCGGAAGTTCAACGTCGTTTGGAATCATTCACTGTTGAATTAGAAGAGCTGACACAACTTGGGTTTTTCTCCGAAGAGGAATGCACGTGAGTTTTTATTCTTTTAACCTAAAAAATAATGTATCATCATAAAATCATTTTATTTGAAACTACCCTACACTTTGCACCCTTAACTTAGTGATTGATTGCCACATAGGCAAAATTAGTGACGAACAAATCTTGTATACTCAGCATGCAGGCATACTTCTATTTTGCTCTTGCTTATTATATCGTTACCATAGCAACAAACGAAGTACGTTCACAACTGTGTGTTATTAAGCTTGATTCAATACATGCAGAAATATGCAAATAATAAACATATAAAATTATTTCTCACTATTGTTATTGTATTTGTATATGCGATCACATTTCCAAAACACGTTATCAATGAATTTGTTTATTTTTGTTCAATGCAGCTCCTTGGTCAAGAAACAATTTGAGTTCGAAAACAAAATAAACAGCATGAACAAATCGGTGCAAGATTTCAAAGAATACATTGCTTATGTTGTTGCTCTATATCGTATTATAAAGATACGCCGGAATAAAGTTAAAATAGGCGATAAAAAGCATCACCTCGAATACAGAGTCTTACAACGAGTGAAAAATTTATATGAAATGGCCGTCCAAAGATTCCCACAAGAAGTGGGATTGTATTTTGCATTTTTTCAATTCTGCAAAGAAGCTGCCTTTCAACATGCCACCAACAGGATGTGTGACATGATGATTAAAGTAAGAATTATTTATTTCAAAATTTTCTATCTATTTATTATATTTATTTTGTTTAGTACCACCAAAGCAATGAAGAAGTGTGGCTGACTGCAGCTCGTTTATATTTCCATGAGAAGAACGACGCATTAAAAGCCATCAAAGTTTTACAACAAGGTATTGGTGTGTTGCACACAAGTAGCGCGTTATACACCGAGTGTATCCAGTATGAGGTTTTTCTGTTGTTGCAAATCACAAAGGCCCCAGAACAGAAAGTCAAGATGAAGACGTTAACAAACTACTTGTTAAAATAGAAATATATCTCAAACAAGCAAAAAATCGCATCAAAGATTATAAGTTCTACACAGACTTATTAACATTCTTAAGAAAATTTGATTTTTCTGTTCATCTTCAAATAGATTTAACCGAATACCTCATGGAAAATCATGCAGATTGTGCAGAATCTTGGCAATTCCTAGCTACAAGAGAACTGGAAGGTGTACATTATGATTATGAAAAGAAAGATATTGTTTATGCACCAGGAAAACATATTTTTATTAACGCTATTGGTATTTATGAAAAGGGTCTGACTGTGATATGCCAAGAGAATCGGAAGTATTTATGGGACTATTACATACAATGTGTGATTGATTTCAAAAACAATGACCACTTTGAAAAAGTGTTAAATTATCCACGATTAGCACTCACTGCGTTTGAGCAAGCAGCTGCTCAAAATTGTTTATCCGCACAATTTTATTTGTACTATTTAGAACTTGTGTCAGATGATCAGAAAATTGAATTGTTAAAACAAGCCAATGAAAAGGTGCCTGAATCCGTGGACTTGTGGATGTTAAGATTACGCATTGAAAAAGCGCGGAATTTGCATGAAGATTTCGTGAACACGTTTGAACGAGCGTGTAAACACTTGGGACAAGAAGCATATCCATTGTGGGAACTAATGCATACTTATAAATTAGATAATGAGGCTGGAAACGAAGAAAACATTAAGTTGTTTTATCTGTCAGCCATTGAGCAAGGCGGACGTATTGCTGAAGACTTCCAAATTAAATACATTCAGTGGCTTGGGAAAGTCAACATTGAAGAATGTAGACAGACATTCAAATCGTTTTTAACTAGTAAACCTTTTAGTAAAGATATGTTCAAAGTTATGCTGCAGATAGAAAAGAAAGCATTAGTTAAATCGAAAAACGATAAAGAATTCGTTGACATTTTAGAATCCATGCATAAAACTGCTTGTAAACAAATTGGCGACGAAGATGTGGACGTATGGATTAATTATATTAAATTGCTTCGTGAGTTTAAGGGCATACATGCATCGAAGGATGCGATAACTAAAATTGCAATTGATACACGCAAGAAATTGAATTCGGAACTTTTAAGTGAGTTTGAAGTTAGATATGATGCAGTAATGCAAGAGAATAGCAAAAATCTTAAACGTAAGCGGGGCTCCACATAAAGTTAAGATTAATAGATGAAGTTTAAGTCTTCTTTTAATGGAATTCCTGATTTATAATTTATAGAAGCACTATGAATATAAGTATACAAGTAATTTAAAGAGAGAAGAAGAATAAAAGTCAAACATTTCCTGCAATATGGCCATGCATTTTTAATTTTCTTGTTATCTCGTAGAAAATTAAGTTTTAATTAAACAATCGTAGATTAGTCTCACAAAACCACAAATTACGTTGTTGAAATGGGACTGCAGACATCTCAAGGGTGGAATAAATGTTAACTTACCTGTGGACTGAAAATAACCGAGCACCGAATTGTTGGGCAGCGCGCCAGGCGTTGCACCCCATGAAAATCAGCGTATAAACTACAAATTTAATTAATATAGTTATCTCACATTAATGTCGCATACAAAATTTCATCATAATTCATCATAATATATCATCATTATATAACATATACAATGTAAATAGATGTAGAGATGTACAACCCATTGAACCATAACAGAAGCGTTTTTTTTTCGTCGAAAAAATGATGAGAGTCCAAAGATAAGACCGTAGACAGCGTTTTTCGTTTGATGATTTTCTCTTTCCTCAATTGTGTGTTTGTGTCGTGTGTGTGTGTGTGATTAGTTAAAAAGCATAAGAAATGAGCGTGAGTCAAGTCAAGTGAGCCGCGAACGCTTCAGCTGCTGCAGGTAGTGGCGCTGCACCGGCTTGTGCAGCGCCAATTGTTCCAAGGCCTCGTCGATGGTAAACCACTGTCGTTTCCTGCCGATTGCGCGCGAGTCCTCCCATTCATCCAGCTCTTCCGTTACGGTCATCACGTATACTTCGGTTCGGTGTTTGTGCTCACGATTCTAAAATTTATTAAATTATGTTTGAATGTTTATTCTCAAGCGTTGAAATTAATAACTTACTTCGAAGATACCAAGACTCCGACCCAATTTCCCAACGACTCCAGCTTCTTCCAAAACTTCGCGGGTGGCTGTCACACTAGGCTCTTCTTCCGGTTCGACGCCACCACCAGGAACGATCCATTTCTCAGGCCTCCGGGAGGATGTTACCAGGAGTACCTGTATGTGAAAGGAAGATGAGCATGTCACGAATTCAGTGAGGAGTGACGAGAAACGTTTGCATACAGGTGGCAAGCGCGCAACTGGTGAAAACGGCATTAGAACAATCCGGGTCAGTGACCCGCTGGGCGATGACCATGAGGTGGTAGTGAAAACGAGAAGAAACGTGAATTACCTCGGTTTCGGCATCCGAGCGCACGCAAATGCAGGCGGCTCGCCGGCGAAATCCCTCGTCGTCGTAAATGCGTATGGAATTCGGCTTCTCTTTGACCATTTTGAGATGTGCGTCTAGTGTGTTTTTGTTGGGCGATACCGGCCGCGAAACTGTTCGACACGCTAGCTAATTAGCCGACTAGCAGTCCACGTTACGAATAGATAAAAAAATTACAAAAGTGCGGTGGCAAAAACAAACAACGATGGATGCCGGTGAAATGGGTTTATCCGAGAACTGAAGTCGTCCTTTGCCGCTTCCGCTTTTCCTCCTGCGTCCTCAGCGAGCAACAGCCATTGCCGCGCGATAAGTCGACACTCTCTTCTTACAGACCGGCGGCCGTAGCGACGACGTCGCCTGCACATCCATTTTGCATAAAATCCCAGGCGCGTAAAAACATGTTTTTGCAGCTTACATATGCGAGATCCGGACGGGCGAGCGACAATGTGGCCGCGCCGACACTACTGCACGCCGCACGAATTTGCCGATATAACGCGAGATCAAACTTACACAATGATCGCACCACGCGCGCACACCTCGCTCGCGAATATTAGCGGATATCGGGAGCGCGCTCGGTGCGAATTGCGAATAATTCGCAATGAGCGTGGTTTGTGGCGGCGCCTTCGCGATTGCAGCCAGCCGTCGATCAGCTAGCTGTACGTCGAGAACTGGATGCCCATCGCGAGCGGATTTTTTTCGGGTGCTTTTACGGTCGGCTCGGCCGAGTTCTCAGTGAGAGCGAGCGGCGCGGCGACGACGGCGGCGGGCGCACGGGAACGCTGGCGAGGAGACACGGTCACCTCACGACGGCGACGACACGGACACGGCACACGCCATGCACACACCACACTCGGCTGACGGCGGGCCGCGGGCGGACAAACGAGCTGAGGCGAGCGCCGCTGCAATGCCAGACTTATCTGCCAGATGTGGAGACAACCGAACCGGCGTTGCGTGCGAATTTTGGTATTGACCAGCAGCCGGCAGCACGTTACCGAACTTTACACTCGCGGACAGATTAATTTGCACCGAAAATAATTACACTTTTCGATCGAGACAAGCACTGACGGCGATTTACATGACATCTTGGCTGCTATTTTGAAACAGGTACTTTTTACTGGTAGTGGAACTGCTACTATTGCTACTGTTTAAATGTGTTTCAATGTGTCCCCACTTGTTAGTACCAGTTAGTACCAACGTTGCCAACGGCCTTATTTTTTATTGAAAATAAATAAGGCGCCAACTTCAAAGTATTTCTAAATTTGTTTGCAAAACAAATTTAATTATTAAATTTTATTCATATCAGTAAAAAACACAAAAGTAAACCAGTATTTAATTTTTATTGCAATTTATAATTTTCTAAACACTAAATTAATGCTGCAAAATAGAGAAAGTCTTAAATTTCAAGCTCATAATTTTTAGTTGCACTGTTGGTAAAGTTGCCTACTATAAACAACCGTTTTTGGATGTTCAAAACATACTAACCAACCTCAAAACTCAAAACAAAGTTGTAACCTTAAAAACATCGTTCTGCGACGTATAGACGCGATTTATTGTTGTTTAAATCATTTAATAATTCTAAAGAACTTGTTGTAATGGATGACGATGGAGTGCATCGGCTCGCGGGTAGTGTCATCGAGAAAGGTGGTCTCACAGTCAAGAAGAAACCACCTTCCTTCAAAGTTCCTCAACCCTCATTATTGGGCCTTGATAGATTGGCGGCACAAAAACGCAAAGAAAAGGAAGAAGCTGCCCGTAAAATGTCGTTCACTACAGAAGACGATGACCACAACGAGTCAGGCAATAAAACTCCGAGGGAGCGATATTCAGGTGAAAATAGAAAATTCAGATCTCCACATGAAGAAACACCAACATACACTGGTGGAATTACTGATGAAGCAAGAGAAAAGTATTTGGAAAGAATGGCAAGTAAAAACAAAGAGAAAGGTGTGTTTGCTAGCACTAAAGACATGAAAAGTTCTAAGGATTCAAGTTACTATTATAATGATAGGGATAGATACAGAGATAGAAGAAGAGATAGAGATAGGCGTGATAAGTATGATAAAAGGGATAAAGATAGGCATAGAGATGATAGAAGTGATAGACATAACAGAGGTGATAGCAGCAGAAGAGATGACAGGACCCCAAGGTTTAGAGATGAACCAAAAACTCCAAATATTTTTCTTAAAAATGATGTTTCCAAGGCATCCTGGGAGGATGATGATGACTTACCACCTGCAAAGAAGTCATCATGGGATTTCCCAACGCCAAAGCCAGGAGATGATAGACACAGTGATTGGTCAGAAAGGAGTTCCAGATCGAGATATGATGAATCATCACGTTCCGATAGAAAACATTCTAGAAGAAAGTATGAAGATGATACTCCGAGAGTGACTCCAGCTCATAAATACAATGCTTGGATGAAAGATAGAAAGAAAAGTGGTGCAACGCCAATGCCACTTGATGAAAAAGATGATCAAGGAGGTCGCAAATGGGATGGGACAGTTGATAGGGACATGTGGGAAGAAGAACAGAGGAGGATCGATCGCGAATGGTACAATTTGGATGAGGGATATGACGACGAAAATAATCCATTTTCCAGTGTGAGTGATGAATATACAAAGAAGAAAGAGGAACAGTTGGAACAACGCAAGAAAAAGCGCATGTCAGCGCAGCAAAGGCAAATCAACAAAGATAATGAATTATGGGAGAGAAATCGAATGCTTACGTCTGGCGTGGTACATTCTGTTGATTTTAATGAAGACTTTGATGAAGAATCTGTTGATCGAGTGCATCTATTGGTTCATAACATTGTCCCGCCGTTTTTGGATGGACGAATTGTGTTTACCAAACAGCCGGAACCTGTTATTCCTGTGAGGTAAGTAAAACCAAACATTTTATGTTTTAAAATGTAATTAAATCGAATTTTCCTTTAGAGATCCAACATCGGACATGGCGATTGTAGCTAGAAAAGGTTCACCACTAGTAAGAGTTTATCGTGAACAGAAAGAACGCAGGAAAGCACAAAAGAAGCACTGGGATTTGGGTGGATCCAAAATGGGTAACATTTTGGGAATTAAGAAGAAAGTCGATGATGAAGATGCAAAATATAACAAAGATGACGATTCGACTGACTACAAGACAGACCATAAATTCGCTGAACACATGACAAAGTCGGAAGCAAGCAGTGATTTCGCACGAAAGAAGTCAATCCTTGAACAACGCAGATATTTACCTGCTTTTGCTGTGCGTCAAGAAGTCCTGAATGTCATCAGAGACAATTCTGTCGTAATTATAGTCGGTAAATATAACCATTTATATTTTGGGATTGTAAGTAACTAGTTTATTATTTATTCATGAATGTAGGCGAGACTGGAAGTGGCAAAACGACCCAACTAACTCAATATCTCCACGAGGATGGTTACAGCAAGTACGGAATGATTGGATGCACACAGCCCAGGAGAGTAGCCGCAATGTCGGTTGCAAAACGAGTTAGCGACGAAATGGGAACTCAATTAGGTTAGTACTCATTCGCGGCAATTTGTTTCCTTGGTGACATGTTTGAATCTTTCTTAGGCGATGAAGTGGGCTACGCGATTCGATTCGAGGACTGCACGTCCGATAACACCGTCATAAAGTACATGACAGATGGTATTCTGCTACGTGAAAGTCTGCGAGAACCTGATCTGGACCACTACAGCGCGATCATAATGGACGAGGCGCATGAACGCTCGCTGAGCACTGATGTCCTGTTCGGACTCCTACGCGAGGTGAGTGCTTTCAAAACAACATTTTAGTTTTACCTTATTTTTCATTGGTTGTACACACTAAGCGAGCGTTTCACGTGCCAGCGCGCGCGTGTGCGCGTATTGCAATGCGTCAATGTCGACAATGTTATCAAAACAATGCCGAAGCGCATAAATCGTATTAAACTTAATGACCCAAATGCTGATAACGGGAAGCTTTTATTGTGACAATTATGAAATTAATGACCGTTATCTATTACCTACGTGTTAAATATAATCTCAAAATTACAAAGTGTTGTCTGAACACGAATAAAAATGAGATTAGTGAAAAGTACTGAAAGACAAATTCATAAAACAACATCGGCACGTGCGAAGTTGCTATGGCAACAGCGAACAAACATGAAGTCTGAACAATGCACATGTTTCGGTGATTATTACCGGTTTCTTTGCTTGAAAAATAAATAAATGTGTTTTGAACGGTGAGGAAGCCGTAGTAAATGCCTGGCTCGTGGAGTGTAAACATTCCCAGGGATACTCTCCAAGAAATCAAAAGGAAGAGACCTTGAGATCTGTTATGATTGACGACCCCGAATCTGCGGGCTCTCCTCGGTGTGGGACGGTGTAGCTGCAGATTTATTGGTTGATTGCGTTGCGGGTACCTGTGAAACGTGATAGCTCTATACTTTTTTAGGTATTAAATCGGACTGGAACAGTCGCATGTCTCTAGGTCCAAAGTTAGTAATATATTCTTTCTATAAACAGTATAATATTGGTTTTGTATAAACATAATATTCATTTCGTAATCATAATGATTAGTTATGTCACAGAATAACTGGGCATAAGTTAAAATACATTGTCAACTAATGTGTCTTTATAGAAAAGTTCTAAATGCATTGATATTTTAAACGTTTCATAGCTTTCATTTTGAGCTTTTCCTGAACACATCAATGACGTAAAATATAACGTTTAAATATATTTACATTTTTTATAACGATACGTCTCACAACTCGCGCAACAAGGTATACAAGGTGTTTAAGAAAACCACCATAAATCACAGTCAATAAAACTGCGAGGCAACAAAGTACATGAGAAAAATTTCACTCGGTGTGGAAATTACTTCCAACTTTCATTTCAAATGATGACTAAACGCTTGCCCCAACACGTAACCAATTGTGTTTTCACTGTGACGCAGCCGGCAGCGATTTGTTGCGCATAAATTAAACAATACATGACGAAAATTGCACTTTTCTCGTCGTAAAAACGTCACTGTCGCATTCATTTCGAATTCGTCAGGCGTCGTATACGCTTTTTGATAAGGAGCAGTCCAGAATTAAGTCCAAAGCTCCCCCACTTGGCGTCAGTCATCTGTAAACAATTACAAACTAGTTATAGTACATCGTAAGAGTTAATCAATGATCAGGTTTGTGAATGTACGAAAGTGCACTGCAATACAAGATTTAACATTAACACGAAGCGAAATGTGAAATGATGTTGAAAAAACAACACAAACGAGAAACGAAACTTGGACTGATTATTGCGTAATGTCCGCGGCGCTATGTCGATTCTTGTTTTCATCCGATTTTATAACTGACATTGAAAGTGTTTCAATAAAACGAGTTTTTTAATGCACACTGGTAGGTACCTAACATGCATGAATTGTTCGACGTCTACTACTATAAACTTTTTTTTATCCGCATACACGTTGTAATTGTGAGACAACAATTTCTGCGCAGTAGAAATAAATTCGTTATCGCTCTAAAATGCTCCGTGCGGCAATACAAATTGTTTATGTTTACAATGCATTAGCTCATTCAATCAGAAGCATGTCTGAGAGTATCCCTAGTATCTCTTAACCATTTACCCATTATTTGCCGATGTGATTAGACTATTTAACACTATTATCGCGTCGACATTCTAGAGTTTCTCGACGGTTGGCTGCGATCGTTTTGAATGCCATGATCCCAGCCACAATCACAACACAAATCTGTTAGTAGGAAAGACGCCACAAATGTTTGCATTCTCTGCGTGTGTTAATTGAATCTTGAAAACGACGTTAACTTACTCCACAAATATACGACCGTGAATCATTCAGTTTTCAATTGATTTCCATTCGACAATTTAATTCATCACTGACAGCAGCCGGTCAGGAGGCGTTAAATCTCCTGGCGGGCGCTATTTTCGCACCAACGTCGCGTGCTAATATACCTTTGCCGCTTAGTATTAACAACAGTGACATCGCTTGACCTATTTTGCGCAACATCTAGATAGATACAAACAAGTTTGTTGGATTAAGATGTACATAGATTAACACTCAAATGATAAATTCGTTGATAGTATTATTTACATTCCGGCAGCATGCGTTTTGCCTTGGTCTCTCACCTATTGCGACGCCGTTTGTCGGATGTGAAAATATCTGACTAAGTTTTCGTTCCAAGAACGCAGTTTTATCAAATATTTTTCATCATTGGCAAACGGCGTTGATATACGAAAAGAAACTTACGTTTCGTACGCGTTGATTGATTTGTATCGGACCGTAGCGACACCAATAGGTGAAATGTTCGGAGTTGTGCCATTTTTGTTTGGTTGCTTCCGCATAGTCGATTTGATTGCGGATGACATCCTCACTGTGCGGCGTTTCCGTCTTATCACAATGATTGTAGATGCGCAGCTTTGTGCCGAGCGGCCAGAATGTGAGCAAGTCGAATTGTCCCACGCGAAAGTTGTTTTTGTGTGGATGCAACGCGTAGATTTTTATTTGTTCCGGATTTTTACTCTTTTCTGAAATTTATACACAAACAAAATTAAAATTAGTGCATGCCATAATCATAGTGACGACGAATTGAATGATTGTTTGATAAGGTAATCAAAATATAACACGCGCGTCGAAAACAATCATCATGCGCCGTGACATGTGTGCAGCCTTCGTAAGGTCGGCGCCAGTGGAAGGATACAAAAATAGCCAGGCCGTACTTGACGTGCAAACACACCGAAAAACAATTCGAAATTGTTTTGTTTGTTTTTATTGTTTCGCGTTTCGTAATTTTCATGTTGCAACCCCGGCGATAACGGCGAGCATTTAATCAAAGTGTCGTTAACATTTCGCGCACATTGATATTCAGTTATTATCTACCATTTAAAATAAATATTATAACTCGTTGGAAAAAAGGCTTATTTGCGATTATGTATGGCCATGTTGGCCTTGAATATCGCGCTACAAAGTCGCAATAGATAAAATTAGCACGGTTCGTTTTGCGTTCCTGGGCGGGCAGCGCGCGGATTACCTCGTGCACTATGTGTATGCATTGTTTACTTTTTAAAAATACATTCCACCTTTCATTAATATGCATTACCAAGTATTTGTATTTGATTTACGCGTGTCGTACGTGGTACGCGGAGTAGAAAGTTTCAACGCCATTTATGAGACCCGCTTGACATTTCCGCACGTTTCATGCGGAAGAGTGCAGGAAGCAATCGGGCGGCAGATTTATATATACGAAACAACGATTTTTACAAATCGGCCGTAATTTTAAATGGCATTATAATAAATTAATCTCGTGTGAAAACCTTGGCGCTCGATTCGCTCAGTTTTCGCACGCTTTGATGCACGCATTAAGGCGACACATCGCGAACAGCTTCATTTACATAAAAGTTTATTTATATTCAAATGTTATTTTTGAACCCAAGTTCATCCGCTCGACTTCACTCCGCGAGGGTGATAACGAGCGTGTATACTCCTAATTTACCATTTACACGAAATAATGATAATGGTAATCGCTGTTTTTGATAAATGTATTACTACTATTTACATCAATTAAATTGCATAGCCAACGTGGGGGACTGCGCAATAATAATTACATTGAAACGTTCTTTACTATTCTTTATACGTTTTATATTTGTCATTTGTGAACACTGCACATTGTACACAGACAATGTTTGCATTGCTCGGGCTATTTTAAAACAGTTATTAAATCATCCTTGTTTGAGCTATATTTATTCCACGAATACTAAAGCTCGTACCAAAGATTCATTGTGATTATGATTCATTGTCCCAGTGCATATTTCAGTTGATTGCACAAGGCGCTTAAATTACATTAATTAATGGCAAACATGTGCAATAAAGTGTGTCAACTGTTCTCGCGAGCAGATCCAATGAAACAAAGCTAATAAATCTGTTACATACTACAAATCTGGTTGTTCCTTGGCCCCGGCAAAGAACAATCAGGCGGTTTTTCTTTGTATTTGGTGTTTTGGAAAGGCTGAAAACGTAATAATTCGATCGCGATGTGGGCTACGTGCCAGTTGTCTTGTCCTCTTGTTGCGTGGACGCAGGCAGGCGAGCACATTTACCTCTACACCGCGGAATGTTCACACATACATGCGTATCCCACTGCCGTTGGCGCTCTGGGTCGCCTCTTGAGGCAATCTTGAAATTGCGCAGTTAATAAAACGCCCGGATAAGTACGCCTGCAACACGTTGCTTTTCGTTAATTAGATTGACTTAATTTAACCGGCGATTATGGTATGAAAGTTGTTACGCGATGTCAACCAAAACATGACCTCTCGCTGTGTATGTGTGTTGTATACTTGGTGTTGCGTAAAATGTTTATAAACTTAAGAATATTGTAATTTTAAAAATTAGAATGTTACTATAAACAAGATAAGAATATTATTGATATCAGTTGAATTTTTACAAGTTTCTCTAATTATAGACAACGCGTTTTGCATTACGATAGCCGGTTGCGTATGTGTGTGGTTTTGGTGCAGCAGCATAAACATCAACACGTCACGCACATAATCACCGCGCACGCTATTTATAGAATCTGCGCCTTCGGCATATTAATTGCACATTGCAATGCCTCTCATTCAACGAGTGTTTATATTTTTGCGGCGTGTTTTCGTGCCGGCGGAGTACGCGCGCGCTCGTATTACTACGAATGCTCGTATACACTTTTACATGCAGTGTGTTTGGAAAATGCACTCGTAATTTATTCTCAATGCACAATGTTGTTTTCGTTGGCACCGCGCACCGTGGAGTGCGTTGTGGCTGCCCGGTAAACACGCAGTAATCTCAGTAATTTAAGTAATCGCACGCCGATTGACCTCATTACAAAAGATAGCTCACCTTCGCCGGTATTCCAAACGGCAATGCCGAATTCGAGCTCATCATTGATGTCATCCTTCCGCTGCACAATGAATCCAGTTTCCACCACCGCACAGAAGACTTTCAGCTCATCATGATTGAACCACTTGGACTCGCGTAATTTTTGCCCGACGACGTAACTACCCCTGCGCGAGATGTCCTGCTGTTGATTGATGAAGCGCTGCACGTTGCTGAGACTCTTGGTGCGTTGCACCTTTACACGTTCGCGTTCCTTCATCTTCGCCGTGGTTGGGTTGGTATAATCGTAGTACGCCTCCGATTGCTGCAGATGCACTGCCTCGTAAAGCATCATAGCGGCGGCCTTTTCGCTTTGCGCGTTCAACACACACACGCTAATAAACTAGTAACATTTAAAACAAACAAAACTCCTCCGGACTTCCCCGCTGCCAACGAGCAAACGAGCGCGGGTGATTTATTTTGTATTTAGTTAGAAGTGCGCTGGCAACGTTAATGAGAGATAAGAAGGTTGCGCGTTTGACACAGTGTTTAACACTTTTCGAAGTCAGTTGCGAGCGGTTATTTATCGTTCATTCGTATTGCGGAGCGCGCGAGCTTATGCGGCAACGAACTCACAATGAGTGCGGAGTCGTGGAGTGTGGAGGAGCCGCTCTGTGAGCGCGAGTCTGAAGGAGCGCGCGCGGTGTGCAATGAATGCAGCCGGCTTTAAAATGTTTATTATGCGTACGCGCCGGTATGTTGTGATAATAAAGTCAGTAGCTGGGGCGTACTTTGCGCGCTAGCTTGCCGAGTGGCGATTGTCGTTTGATAAATGTCTCGATTTTTCTGAATCGACGGCGGCGGCGTGCGGTTTGCGTATGTGTTCCGGCGCTCGCGATATGAGACGGACGCACGGCGTGGGATTAATGCGGGGATACGATTGTATATACGGGGCAATACGAGCGTGTGTACGCGACGACGTTTGTGCGCAGCACCGCGTGCATGGCGTGCATGCTTCCAGTCAGGTTTTGCGCTTAAACCGCGCCCGCCGCACGCCCTTCTCCCGGCCCCGCCGCCGGTTGGATCGCGAGGCGCGGCGTGTCTGCAAACGAGTTTGAATGTAAACAAATTCCGCCGGCCTTGCAACGGCGGAGCGCAGACATTGCTCATGCAAATTGTTTGCCAAGTTTTTATGAAGACTTGATATGAATAAACTAAATTATGCGAGATGAAATGAAACCAGACTTAAATGTAATAGTTTGGTAGCAGGAAGCTAGTGGCGCCTCCACTCGAAATGTCACGTAATTAATTAGCAGAATTTACTGTGTAGAAGTTGTAAACTTGTTAAATAATTACAACAGCGGTTTGTTTACAGCGTAGAAAGCTGTGTTTGAAATATTAATATACTTTCAGAATCAGGGCATCGATTTTTGTTAAGATCAGTTGTAATATGTAAGGCAAAGTTGTGTTTACTAAAGATATTACGGATAAAATACATATGTGTATTTTAAGAATAATATTTTTAATTCCATTGTGTTTTTCTTTCGTTAATATTACAGATAGTTGCTAGACGACACGATCTTAAATTGATCGTCACTTCCGCCACGATGGACTCTGGCAAGTTTTCGATGTTTTTCGGGAACGTGCCGACATTTACGATTCCTGGACGCACGTTTCCGGTTGAAACGCTATTTTCGAAAAATCCGGTCGACGATTACGTCGACAGCGCCGTGAAACAGGCTCTGCAGATTCACCTTCAGCCGCCTTCGGGTGATATTTTGATTTTTATGCCTGGTCAGGAAGATATCGAAGTGACGTGCGAGGTATTTATCTCATTTTAATGCAAACGAATGCGTTTCTAAATGTTAACGTTCTCTTATTAAGGTGTTGGCAGAGCGACTTGGCGAAATCGACAACGCGCCCGAGCTCTCGATTCTGCCAATTTATTCGCAATTGCCGTCTGATTTGCAAGCGAAGATTTTTCAACGATCACCGGAGGGTATACGGAAATGTGTAGTTGCGACGAATATCGCGGAAACTTCACTTACGGTCGATGGTATTATATTTGTCATCGATTCCGGTTATTGCAAGTTGAAGGTTTATAATCCTCGAATTGGCATGGACGCTTTACAGGTATTTTATATTTTTGCAATAATATTTGTGTCATTTTTGGTATGATTCATACTTGTGTTTTTAAACTTTTATCGTGGTATTTAAAGTGGTTGTTTGTATGTCCATATTTAAATATTTTTCCAGATTTATCCAATCAGCCAAGCGAACGCAAATCAGAGATCGGGCCGCGCTGGTCGTACTGGACCCGGTCAGGCATTCCGTCTCTACACGGAACGGCAGTACAAGGACGAACTGTTGATCACGACCGTACCCGAAATTCAGAGAACGAATTTGGCGAATACCGTGCTCCTTTTGAAGTCATTGGGCGTTCAAGATTTACTACAGTTTCATTTCATGGACCCGCCTCCTCAAGTGAGTAAATTATTTTTGGCGTGCGTTTAATAAATAGTGCAAAAAATAGTGCTATGTCTAGACTTTTATTTTTGGAAAAATGTTAATCTTTCGTCGAACTTGGCATTTATGATAGTCTTTTTTTGGTTCATCGTTAAATTAATGTTTGCAGGACAATATTCTGAACTCCTTATATCAATTATGGATACTTGGTGCTTTGGATCACACAGGTGTGTTAACAAAGCTCGGCCGCCAGATGGCTGAATTTCCGTTAGATCCGCCGCAGTGCCAAATGCTTATTGTTTCCAGTGATATGGGATGCACTCAGGAAATTTTAATTATTGGTAATAATTAGCGCTACTAATCGATTGGCTATATATTTATGAAATAATAATTATTTACAGTTTCAATGCTTTCTGTGCCATCGATTTTCTATCGTCCTAAAGGTCGCGAAGAAGAAGCAGACGGAGTACGTGAAAAATTCCAGGTTCCGGAAAGCGATCACTTGACGTACCTCAACGTGTACAACCAATGGAAACAGAATAAGTACGTGCTTTACTTATTACATTAACTTAACAGCGCTAATGAGACGCGTATTAATGTTCGTTTTACATAATTCACTTAATTTTACAATTGCTTCTTTCAGTTATTCGTCGCACTGGTGTAACGAGCACTTTATACACATTAAGGCGATGCGCAAGGTGCGCGAAGTGCGTCAACAGTTGAAGGACATCGTTATACAACAAAAATTAGAGTTGAAGTCGTGCGGAACCGACTGGGACGTGGTGCGGAAGTGTATTTGTTCAGGTATTTAACATCTTTTATTGGAAATATGAACTAACGTTACTAATTATACTTTTTGTGTGTACGTGTGCAGCATATTTCCATCAAGCAGCGCGGTTGAAAGGTATCGGTGAGTATGTAAACTGTCGAACCGGAATGCCTTGCCATCTGCATCCGACTTCAGCGCTATTTGGATTGGGTAACACGCCTGATTACGTTGTCTACCATGAACTGGTAATGACAGCTCGCGAGTATATGCAATGTGTCACCTCGGTCGACGGTCACTGGTTAGCGGAATTGGGTCCTATGTTTTTCTCATTGAAAGAAACGGGTAAATCAGGGCGGGCGAAGAAGAAACAAGCTGCTGAGCATTTACAAGAAATGGAAAATCAAATGCAAGTAGCTCAGGAAGAGATGCGACAACGTAAAGAAGCTGCGGATAAAAAGGAAGCTGCATTGAACAAAGGACAAGAAATTATCAGTGCCGGTACAACCCCGCGAAGGACACCTGCTAGATTTGGTTTGTAAATAAAAACAATCGACAACATTTTAAGAAATTGATACAACATATATCTAGACTTCACAATTACAGCGTATATTTTATTTCAATCCATGGTGGGTATTTTTTGACAACCTGCCGAACAATTCCAGAAGCACATGCTCATCCAGTTCAATAATTTTCCTTTCACTTTTCACAATAAATGAAATATTGTTAATGTTGATAATCAGGTATAAATACGTGGGAGGGACATACGTGTATTATTGCTAGAAGATCGCCCCTTCCGAGAGTAAGAACTTCTGAAGGCCGGAAAACATTCCTCATCATCATCCTTTTCTGAGGACTGCAAACTTATAGCGGTATTTGTTGTTGAGTCTGGAAAGCGACAGCTGCTTGTTTGCACTCCCCAGTTTGCCGGAACTTCTTTTAAATAAAAGACTTCCACAGGGTTATTTTCCTTTTTCTGGCTGGAACTGCATGGAAATATATTTTAAATTACATTGAACATTACATAGTCTAATATGTTTACTCATGATTATTATGATTCATCTAATTATCGCGATTTAATTGTAATTAATGTAATTATCATTCGTTATTGAAAAGAATCATTTGATACGCAATCAAATACGTGTTTACGTTGATTAATTTTGTAATTCTAGAATATTTTCGATTAACTGATTACTTGATAGCATCGATTTACCGTTTATTTCTTTTGGTTTCATTATCTCTAACATAAGTACGTTGCGAATCCATTTGTGCGCGATTTTGTACTCTCACATTCTTTATAATAAATAATTTGCAGGAATTTCTTCACAAGCAAAAACTTTTAATACAAAACATTTATTAAAACATATCAAACATTTAATATTTAAAATTTTTATGACACAGAAAGCCACTTCACTAATCTAATAATACCTTGATATAAAATATGACATTTTTATTAAATATTGATTTCTATGACAATATGTGTAATTATGAATATCGTTTATTTCTATTTTTTATAGAAACTTTTAAGAGGCGAAACGAATTCATTTCTATCGTGGGTTTCACACCATTTATAAAATAATTACTTAAATTACCGCTTATTAAATACAAATGATCCCTACTGAAAGCTGCACCTGTGCACCAATTTATCATGTTATTGCTTGCGACAAAACTTGCAGTACGGAAGCCCTTATCAACATTCCATTTGGCAAGTGCATTTTTATTCAGTAAACAAAAATACATATCTCCGTTGTGATTCATAACGTAATTATATGATTGATCTGCTTTTGTGCCCGCAACATGGACGTAATCTCGCCATGAATTTTGTGTTATCAAATCTCGGTTTTGAATAACATCCACGTTTAGTTTATAGATATTTAAACTGCTCACTGGGCTGTAAAAGATAAATCTGTTTTTCTTTGAATTGCCAGTATATGGCGAAACTGTAATTGGTCCCACTGCATGATAATAGTTGAATTTAGATTTTCCAATTTTAAATGTTAATGCGTTTTGGTCCGGAAACATGCTGGCATCGCGTAACTTCCATGACGTGTTCTTCTTCTTTGAATATACAATAATACCTGGATCTTGAGCATTACTGTCTGTTATATAGGCAAAGTTACCATCTATAACAATGTCTCCCAAGTAAGCATTGGTCTGACCTCCTTCTGATGGAAAATCGTAAGTGGAAATTATTTTATGTGATGTAATATTGTAAATAATTAATTTTGAAGGACAATTTGTTAGATTATTATGTCTCAAACCATCTAAAATCCACATGATTCCATTTTTATCAATGTCAATTGCGTTTACATTTTGTAAGGTTTTGCAGTCACATTGAACATTCATCTCCCAACTTGGAAATGGCGTCACCAAGGGCGAAACGTTGTTTGATTTAAGTGGTACATATCCCAGTGTAACAGGAGTTCCTGAATAATATCGCCCCAACGCTGTATATATTCGACTGCCATAGATTTTTATATTGGTCGGAAAATTATTTGCAGGTATATATAAACCTGCCTGGAGACTATATTGATACACCAATTGATTAGGCCACGTGAAGTTTACATTGTTCCATTTGTAAACTTCTTTTACTTCTGTTGCTTTACTAATATATAGTAAAATCACGAAGAATGCCACTTCATTAATAACTATTGTACTTTTATTAGTAGACATTACCTCGGTTATACGCCACGCTATTATGCTAAATCAGTTACCAAGTGGAATATGAGTGTACGAGAATTATTGAAGAATGTAGGTGGTAGTTGGTTCATTCAATGTTCATTATTTTAAAATTTACTCCTGCATTTTTGCAAAGATAAGGTAACATGTTTTGTTTTTGAAATGATATGTCATATTATGCCTTGACAGTGGCTCACGAGGCAACAATTACTAAAATGAGGAAACACGTAGGTTTAAAGGAATCCACAAAGGTTTTTGCTATATAAGCAACAATGTTTGGTAAATTAATAAAATATTAGCAAAGTTATAAGTTATTCTAAAGGACTACCCACTTTATGTACTACTTTTCTCTGAATTATAAAAGTTAGTGGAAAAGAAGACACGATTGCTCTATGAATTAAATAATTTGCTATATGTTCAGAAGTCAATTCTATTCTACTAGTTACTTATCGGGTAGAATAGAAATGGAGTCAGGTAATAAATAAATATTCAATGCGTAATTGAATTGTTTTTGTTTTCGACACTACTACACTGACAAGACCCGAGTCTATAAAGAAACAAGTTTTTCTTATCTCATCTAACCTGTGTGCCGTTGTCGGCACACGCGGTTGGCTTGCGTACGGTGTTAGTCTTATTCTTACCGTCAGCTAGTCTGAACGCGCAAGTCTTCGCGACTCCTTAAGTTAATCAGTTTTTCTTTGCTTTATTACGTTTTGTTCCCAATTGCCTTGTGCGATAGTGGTGAAGTGCAGGAGGGTGCAGGAGTGCAGGAGATGTTCGGTATGTGATAAACGCGGATTGAACATACGCAGAGTTACTTCTGCATGATTGATGTACCGTTAGCCGTCGGATACTCGTCGATAAATTTCACCAGTGAAATGCCGCAGTTTTATTTTATATCAAGGTATGTTCTCGCATTTCTTTAACTATAGAAGAAATTAATAATAGGTACTTTTATTAAATCACATAGTTTGTATCATATATTTCTCTTTGCATTTTTCAATTGATTGCTTTACTTTAATGCATATATATAACCATAGTTCAAGATTGTTGTGTGCCGATGGCTGCGATCTCGGCCTTCGCTGCAGCCTCGTACAGGGCCGTCGAGAGCCAGCGGCGCCCAGCGCGGGCCCAGGGGAAAATCCGCGGGCAATCGTTAATTGGAAATTTAAGAGATGAAATTTTAATTCATAAGGTAAAATGGACAAAAGGGGTTCTTGATTTTCGACAGTGAATATCTTCTAAACTAAAAGAGATAGCAACCAGAAAATTATAGATTATGAAATTATGAATGGAAAATTCTTTAATAGATATTAATTATAAATAATTTAAATTCGTGGGATAAAAGGTCCAAAATTGCGACTAAGGATGCGAAAAGTGCAATTTTTCAACTTTTGACGATTTATTTCAATTGTGAATATCTCGTAAACTAAAAGAGATAGAAAGGAATGAATTGCCGAGTCTTAATCTACGGACAACTCTCAATAAAATAAGTTAGTAAAATTAAAAATTTAAGAGATTAAATTTTAATTCATAAGAAAAAATGGGCAAATGAAAGTCAGCTATTCAATCATCCACGTATGGTGCCCTGAACACGAGTCACTTCTACCGCTGCCCTTGTTCGGTGCCCTGAATACGATTACTTCTACCGTTGCCTTTGTACGGTGCCCTGAACACGAGTCACCTCTACCGGTGCCCATGTACGGTGCTCTGAACACGAGTCATTCTACCGCTGCCCTTGTACGGTGTCCTGATTACGAGTCACTTCTACTGTCACCCTCCACGGTGCCTTGAATACGATTCACTTTGATCGACAGCCTCGTACGATACCATGAACAAGAATCATTTTTACCGTCACCCTGGTAACGTCATTGAAGATTAGAAAACTTCCGAATATTCTTTATAGAACAAGATAATAATGAATATTTTGTACGGCTTGGCCGTCCGTATATAAAGTACCACTTTTTGTGTTTTGTGAAGGATATGCGATTCGTTCCTTTCTATTTCCTTTAGTTTAGAAGGTATCACTAACGAGCATATTTCGATACAATGGGAAGACCTAACATTACCTTAATCTAACATTGGTGTACCTTGTGATTTTAAGTCGGTAGTTGAATTAAAATCGGTCAGCAAAGATAAGATTTAGAAGTATCCGATGAGTGCGGCCTATAGTTATTGAGATATCGCGCGTGGAACCCAGAGATGCGTAGTTGTACTAGATACGCACGTGTTTGCCGTCGGACGGCGGATATCTCCCGTCGGCTAAGAATTCCTAGTGGTTTTGTTTTGTGTATTCATTTAATTATTAATTGGAATTACCACCACCATTTGTGCCTCTTGTGGAATATGTCACCTACGAAAACGTAAGAAGGTGTGTAACATAAATACTATATTCTATTATCATTCGATTAATTAAACTGTCAAATGCGGATTCGTCACCCGATAAGGATAAACGATCAGTCAAATTAGTAGAAGCTCTGAAAATGGTCGCTTTTAATCCACGAGGTAATGCGAGTAGTGCAATATTGTCGCGTTCCGTCGGCTGCCTATTTGCTTCCGTTAGGTTCCGTTTATCGTGCCTGATTATTGCTTTTGTATCTGTATATTTCTATTTGTAATTGGCTTCACATGTTTGCTAGTTTCTGGGTATAAGAGATCAAGATTTAGTATTTTTTTAAAAGTAATAATTATAATTATTAATAATTGTATTATATATTATGTTCTATCCTCGCACCTATCACCTCTCCTAGATATCCAGGTGGAAACGGGTAATAGAAATCGTATTTTGTATTTTCTTTTTGTATCACCCTGTATATAAATTTTCCTTTATGATCAGAGAAAAATTTATTGATATGGGGTGATTTTTATTATAAATAGAAGATTTTCTTTTGACAACATTCTGTATATACATTTTCCTTGCTCAAGAAAATAGTTGCCAATCTTTATTGGTTTGAAGCCATTTTCTCTTTACATTGTAGATTTTCTTTTGTTAGCACCCGGTATATAATTTTCCAGTGATGTCACGCGAAAACAGGGTGTAATTTGGTATTTTCTAGTGTTATCCTTTGAAATTTGATAGCTGTTTGCATGTCGTGGCTATGCAGGTGATAAACATGTTTTAAAATGACGTCACGTGATCTGTAGGAATTAAACCTGCAAATTCTGAAGCTGTATTTTATGTAATTTGTTAATAAAGAAATGTTAAAAGCAATGGTAATGTCTTATGTCTTGTACACCCCTCCTTTCTATCATTTCAGGTATAGGTCAGAACAGGTGAGTATTTCTTAGTTAGTGTTATGATCGGGTCTGAGAGAGACGACACTTGGAAATATCTATACAAATCCTTATAAGGAATGTCCTTATAAGGAGTTCTCCCACTCGGGGGATGATCCCCCACCGTAAAAATTGTTGATATGCCTAAGAATCCTGGGGATGAAGCGTAGAGACATCGTAGCTGTAGGATGGGCCGGGAGCAATGGACACATCGAAGCAGTCCTTAGACTGTCTAACGACACGCGCCAAAAAATTTAAAAATCTGATTCCTCCCTGTCCTTTCTTCTATCTTCTCCTATTCTCTACTCTATTCCCTGTTCTCTTCTTTCTATCTTCTCCTATACTTCTTCTTCCTTCTTCTTCTGTTCTCCGTTTCTCCACTTGCTTGCTTTCTGATTTTTCATATTGCCTTCACTTGTATTTCAATTTCTCTTATATTTCGTTGCAATTTATATATGCAACCCAACTTACACTTGATATTTTTATATTTGAGAAAAATGCCTTTTACACCTGAGATTCGATCCGTGTCTGCTAGCATGCCAGCAGGTGCACGTCTCCACTCGACCACCGAGTGTTTTTATTATTGTTATTTGATTCTACTATTTATGTTTCTACTTTAATCATGTTTTTAAAAACAATAACACAATTCAAGCAAAAATCAAACAATCACAAACGTTTAGTTTTATGTTGTTAACATATTCACTTATAACAAGTTTAAAAGATAATAATGAGAATAAAACTTTGTGATACTATGTTGTTCACTGGGCTGTTGAAAAAGAACTATGCGCAAAATATATCCCCCCATAACAACACAGTATCACAGCTCTGGAATATTTTATCACGAAAGTACATGTTAGAGGAATTCGAATATAAATATGTAAGTAACACACTTTATTGTTTCAGCATTTATATCCTTTTTGTACCAGAAACAAACATGGTTCCTATCCATGACAAAATAAATAATTGAATTGTATTGAATAATAAATCCGATAGCCATTTGTCGTCGTCGTAAGATATTCGAGGGCTAACCATAAAAATGGCACAAAAATTGGTGAACGAAAAGATTTTGGATTCTGATAGATTTTAATTTTACGTCGATTATTAAAGTAAATTTGTTTGCTAACAGTGACCGTTATGGCCCTATTTGCAATATACTTCGCATAATAATGTAGTCAGGTTCCGACGGCATGCACATTTTTGATTAAAATTGCTAATAGGGCCTAAACGGTCTATACTAGCAAGAATTATTACATAAATGATCGATATAGAATTAAAGTATCTAACAGGTTCCGAAAACAGATTAGGAAAATTCCAACATAAAAAAGAGAAATGTTTTGCCTTTTTTATGACAAAATCTTTTTTCACCAAATGCCACTTATGAAATACTTGGAATTTTGCAATTCTGTTTTCGGATTTTGATAGATATAATTTAATTCTATATCGACTATTTAAGTAATTATTTTCTTAACATTGACCCTTTAGGATCTATTTGCAATTTTAATTAAAAATATGTTTTTTACATGCCAATAGGGCCTTAATCTACAAGTGTGTTACTGGTTTCCGATTTAGAATTTTATCTAGGGTTTCATTAGGGTGCCATCTTGAAAAGAATTTTTCAAGCACTAAGAATATGATTTTCTATCTTTTCTAGCCTTCTTAGTTGTCGAGATAATTACAATTTTAATCTTCTATATTAGACTATTCCGACGACATGCAAATGTTTCATTGAAATTCCTAATAGGGCCTAAACGGTTACCGTTAGCTAAAAAGTTACTTAAATAATCGATGTAGAATTAAATTATCTATCACAAGTCGAAAACAGAATTTTAAAATTCCAACTTTTAATCAACACCGGCAATCCAATCTTCAATTTCTTGAATACTATAAACCAGAATGAAAAACAAAATAGTAAAATATAAAAGATTATAAATTGCCCAAATATAACATACGTTCTTGGAACTTTAGTCCACTTGACACATCCATCTTCAGTAATCAAAACATCATCCTCAATACGCACTCCGCTAATACCACGGAACCCTTCCAGTTGGTCCTAATGGATAAACTTACCCACTGCTTCGTCCAAAAACTGGAAAATAGTTAATTTTATAATCTTGTATCTAAATATGTTCGTTAGCGATATCTTCTAAACTAAAGGAGATAGAGAGGATCGAATGGTATATCCTTAACCTACGAAAAATTCTCTATAAGATAGGCTACTTAAATTAGAGATATAAGCAATTTAAAAAAATAGGTTATAAGAAAAAATCATGCAAAGAGGGGGGTCTTCTCATTGTATCTAAATATGTTCGATAGCGATATCTTCTAAACTAAAGGAGATAGAGAGGATCGAATGGTATATCCTTAACCTACGAAAAATTCTCTATAAGATAGGCTACTTAAATTAGAGATATAAGCAATTTAAAAAAAATAGGTTATAAGAAAAAATCATGCAAAGAGGGGGGTCTTCTCATTGTATCTAAATATGTTCGATAGCAATATCTTCTAAACTAAAGGAGATAGAGAGGATCGAATGGTATATCCTTAACCTACGAAAAATTCTCTATAAGATAGGCTACTTAAATTAGAGATATAAGCAATTTAAAAAAAAATAGGTTATAAGAAAAAATCATGCAAAGACGGGGGTCTTCTCATTGTATCTAAATATGTTCGTTAGCGATATCTTCTAAACTAAAGGAGATAGAGAGGATCGAATCGTATATCCTTAAGCTACGAAAAATTCTCTATAAGATAGGCTACTTAAATTAGAGATATAAGCAATTTAGAAAAATAGATTATAAGAAAAAATCATGCAAAGAGGGGGGTCTTCTCATTGTATCTAAATATGTTCGTTAGCGATATCTTCTAAACTAAAGGAGATAGAGAGGATCGAAGGGTATATCCTTAACCTACGAAAAATTCTCTATAAGATAGGCTACTTAAATTAGAGATATAAGCAATTAAAAAAAATAGGTTATAAGAAAAAATCATGCAAAGAGGGGGGTCTTCTCATTGTATCTAAATATGTTCGTTAGCGATATCTTCTAAACTAAAGGAGATAGAGAGGATCGAAGGGTATATCCTTAACCTACGAAAAATTCTCTATAAGATAGGCTACTTAAATTAGAGATATAAGCAATTAAAAAATAGGTTATAAGAAAAATCATGCAAAGAGGGGGTCTTCTCATTGTATCTAAATATGTTCGTTAGCGATATCTTCTAAACTAAAGGAGATAGAGAGGATCGAAGGGTATATCCTTAACCTACGAAAAATTCTCTATAAGATAGGCTACTTAAATTAGAGATATAAGCAATTAAAAAATAGGTTATAAGAAAAATCATGCAAAGAGGGGGTCTTCTCATTGTATCTAAATATGTTCGATAGCGATATCTTCTAAACTAAAGGAGATAGAGAGGATCGAATCGTATATCCTTAACCTACGAAAAATTCTCTATAAGATAGGCTACTTAAATTAGAGATATAAGCAATTTAAAAAAATAGGTTATAAGAAAAAATCATGCAAAGAGGGGGGTCTTCTCATTGTATCTAAATATGTTCGTTAGCGATATCTTCTAAACTAAAGGAGATAGAGAGGATCGAATTGTATATCCATAAGCTACGAAAAATTCTCTATAAGATAAGCTACTTAAATTAGAGATATAAGCAATTTAAAAAAAATAGGTTATAAGAAAAAATCATGCAAAGAGGGGGGTCATGTCATTGTATCTAAATATGTTCGTTAGCGATATCTTCTAAACTAAAGGAGATAGAGAGGATCGAATCGTATATCCTTAAGCTACGAAAAATTCTCTATAAGATAGGCTACTTAAATTAGAGATATAAGCAATTTAAAAAAATAGGTTATAAGAAAAAATCATGCAAATCTTTACTTTTACCGCTCTTTACTTTTACCGCTAGTTTCGTACGGTGCCCTGAACACGAGTCGCTTCTATCAACACCTTGCTAAGGTATACCGAATGAGGCTCAACTATACAATTGCGATTAATTGAAATCTAACGAAAGAAACAGGGAAAAATCAACGTTCTTCACATATTCAAGTCAATAAACTTTAATAGTGCATATCTTTTAAACTAAAAGCGATAGCGACCAACGGATTGAAATTTATAAGATTTGAAAATTTTCCATTTGATGATATTTAAAATATTTTAATTTCGTGGAGGAAAAGGTCCAAAAACGTGACTAAAAGTGCTAAAAATTGGAATCTTTTGTTGGTTTTTTTGAATTGCCAATATCTTCAACACTTAAAATTTTGTCTAAGCAGGGCACGCGACTATTTGTGTCACAGGTAGGTAGGTAGTAGGTACGTGATAAATAGAAAACTTGTTTATAAACAGCACATGTAAATTTGACCAAAAAATATAATTTAAATATAAACTTACCGGGGTACAGCTTATTGGACAGCCGAGTAGAACGAGTGGTGTAACTAAAAGAAAACATAAATTAAAACAACAATATTTCATACAATTTAATTTCGTTATAATTAACAATCAACACAAAATAAACAATCTGTGCTGTTTAGTTAAAAGATACTTACACGAGCCTGATGGTTCTTTCATAATGATGAGAATCAATATGTGGCGATATACCTATATATATCCGATTAATTTAGCAACCGACACCAAACACAACGCCGAGTGAAGAATGTTATCAAATCCACTATCCCGTGACTTGTAATATACATAGCAAACGCGAACAAATATCGGCATTTACAAACATTAAACAAATTACTATAGTCGAAAAGTACAAATAAATAGTCAATTGATCTTCGAGTATAACACAAATTTGGAATATTGAACTTCGAATAAACGATATAAGTCTCTCAAAACACGACTGCATGCCGAAACTGCGTAAACAACGACGGGACAGTATATGATAAGAAAGCAAGAGGTGCATAAAGCAGGCGCGTCGTCGGCACATTACCTGTGATTTAAACTAAAGAAGACTTCGCTGCATGCAGCAAGTTGATGTGGCGCTAGGAGACAGCGCGCGGTACACATGCGTTAAAAACGTTGTTTACATCGAATCACAGATAACAGCATTGTATTCAAAACAATTCTCATGCCCACGTTTGTCGATAAATATAAAAATAAGTCGTATAACTCGATTTTGTAATGTTTCTCAAATCCTTCTCGGTGAGTGCTATGACTGCCATCTAGGCATAGCAGTTATAAAACAATTGAATGCGCACATAACCTCGTGACTCGTGTTGTCTTGCACGCACGTGTTTTAGAAGATCAACAAATTTAAACCAAATTAAAATGTATTTGATGTATTACTTGGACGAAAGCGGCAATCGCTGTTACACGTTGAAGGTGATTATTGAAGTCTTCCTTACGCTACTCTTAACAGTTTGTATAAATTCGGTAACCATGTAGACTGAGCACTGAAGCTAGAATGCTTTTTATTGTTGCTATGGCTATTGAAATTATTATACATACATGTTCTGCTTGGCTTAATTTGTGGTCATTGAATAGTCTGTATTTATTGTTTTAGAAAAATGGGCCTGATGGAAAGCCAACATTATCTGCTCATCCTGGTATGTTTGTCTTTTCAAATTATTACGATATAATACTTACAAAACAATTTTTTTAGCACGTTTCTCACCTGAAGATAAGTACTCGCGGGAGCGAATAACCATCAAGAAACGTTTCGGCATTCTAATGACTCAAAAACCCGAAGTTGTTTATTAGAACCATGTATTATATTGCTTATTTTATAAGAATTAAACTTAAATTCCCTTTTACACATTCTCAATCTAGAATATATGTTTGTAATTCAACTTAATGTTCAAATTGAAGGTAATAATAAATGCGTTGATATAACGATGAATTTACATTTATTGCTATACAATAATATATGTTCTGACTATGTTATTTTTTGTTTGGAGTATTAGTGGTATTACAATGTTATATTTACAGATTTATTGTAATCATCAAATATTTGTCACTAACCATATCAATGTAACTACTAAACCACGCAGTAAAAAGCTATCATTCTCAGTATGTACAATCATGGACATAGTTTCATTAAATTTATATTAGTTAATGTTAACTCACTTCTCAAGTGTTTTTGGAGTAAGTAACATTGATACCACACACACTTTTGAAATGGTAGAGTAGTAGTTTCATCATTGTAAAGTTTTTTTTTATATATAACAATTCTAAACATACGTTCTTGTAAAAGCAGTAAAAGTACAATTAACTTTTATATAAAGAAATTGTATAGGTAGATTTGAGACTTGACTATGTCTTTGGATTCGGTTGAAAATATTCATCTAACAAATAAATCGTTGTGTCTTATATGGTAATGGAAATTTGTTTAAAACTAGTTATAAAAATACTAATGAGAGCTAAATTTGTACCATTTCTCTATGCATCTTATGAACATAGAGCAAAGGCACAAACATGTATAAATTAGACCGACTAAAAGATCACCTAATAAGAAGTAAAATACTTGTTAATGATAAACAATTAAAGGGCATGCCATCGTTTGATTTTTCATTGTAGTCGACTTGTGCTTTTTGATGCTTGACCATTTTGATTGATTTCGATGACGGGACGAACGGCAGTCACGGAATATTCTTTCACAACGGAGAAGAAATCGATTCGTTCGTCCAATTATTAATTGACGCAACCTTTCTTCGGAAGGAGGTTCATCTAAAACCGCTGCTTCATCACCGCTTTTATTTATGCGTATAATCCGAGTCGATGAATTTTGGCAGACAAAAAGTTGTGTAGTATAAATACTATTGGCTTGGGACATCCGTCCATGTCCAGTTCCTGCAACACAATGAATGTAATCCAGGTTTTAGAAAAATTGTTAATATAAGTTAGCTTACAATGTCGCTATCCTCTCCACCGAAATCCAAAAATAACATTCGCCTTCCATCGTCCGACGAGTTCCGTAATCGGTCGAACGGGAATCTCCAAAGCGTCCTGGAGCCAGTTCCGGCTTCGAGAAGTGTGAATCCATTTTCATAATGAATAACTAATTGCGCCGGCCTTCCCTTCCACGAGCATCCTGCAACAAGCATACGCAACACGTTAGCAACTCTCACAGCACAATCGTTAACAAGCTTAATTCGAATGTTGATTCGTTTCCAGCTTGTGTGATTCCATTGGCAGTCGCCATAATTCCAAAACGACCACTATTGATACATTAATGTCTAATAATAGTCAGCAACAGCAACGTTTATTATGACACTTTGTGTTGGTATATTAGAGAAGATTACTTGAAACTGAGCGTAATTGAACGCTTGGATTAGCCTCATGTTGAACACATGTAAACGGAATTCGTACATGGATTTTTGAAAGCAAAGCTTTAAAATATTGCTACTCACTGCAAACGAGTTCGCGTTGCGTAACGGCGCTGGCGTGACTTCCGTTGACCAAAGCTTTCGCCCATCCGGCCAAATCCCGATGCGTTTCCGCCCGCAAGCTGTGCGTTATCACGCCGTCGGCAGTGGCGCAGCGTATGCTGAACTCTGGCAAATCCGCCCGTTTGCCGGAGCCGACTAATCGCGTCGCAATCAGTGAGTACGCCTCGGCGGGCGCTCGCCACGCATCCCCCGACCAGGGTGCGCTTTCATACAATCGTAACTCGCTGTCGGTGACGGCGCCAAAGATCGAATGCCATCTGTCCATATCTTCACTGCTCTCCGAACTGGACATGTTGTTCTGTAAAAGATCAAATTTATTTGAGTGGGCAGTACAAGGTAATTACTTTATTCACAAAATTTGATTTGATAAAATAAAATCAAACAGAAACAGTATTTTCGCAACCTTTGGGACCCTTTTTTTATTTCTTTGACCCTTTCTGATTTTTAAATTAATTTATTCTGGATTCCTTTATATTTGATCATCTTTAAGAAGTGATACAAACCTCTAAGCGTGGCCTGCGCACCAGCCATCCGATATGTCGAAGGTCGGGAATAGCCCTCGCTGCTTCATGTAGGGCTGCTGTCGTGAGTCCTGCTAACGCCGAATGCAGCGTGTTGAACCACGCGGTTGCCTCGCCCGGATCAGCCGCTCGCAGGACGCAGCTATGCACCGCGTCCGGTGAATGCAGCTCCAGCACTCGACCTTCTGTAACACACAAAAAACAAAACGTCATCAATCACCCTTAATCAAGTGGCTAACATTGGTGATGGCTCATCGCTCGCCCGCGCCGACACGACCACCCCGCTCCCGATTAGTTAACTTAAGCGCTTTTGCCATCGCGCACTAAAATGGCAACTTTGTGTTTGCGTTGTAAAACTAAAATCTAATAAAAATGCGTCCAGCTGTTACGTCTAGTATGGATGGACGACGGAATGACGCAACGCGAAAAAATTGCGAAATTAATTACGAAAACTTTCAAGGATTCATTTCGTTTAATACAGTTGTATAAGAGTTGTAAGGCTTTGTAGGACAACGCCGACCGCCAGCGAGCGCTGACAAAAAAAGACAAGCCTGATGGTGGGCGAGACAAAATGGGCGAAGGCATCAAGCGGAAGTGATTTTTATGAAGTCGCCCAACTTTCTTTATCATTATGTTTGTTTCCGCCGGCGCAACTTTTTATGTGACTTTTATGGTGGAAATAAAAGTTGAGGTTTTGTCTAAAAATTTTCTCATTAAATACTGGAAACCCAGCGGTAAAATAAGCTTTAAAAATAGACAATGTGCAATATTTCAGTTTGATATCAATAACGTATTGATTAGTTTGATTATTGAATTGGTGTTAAAGTTGTTGCTTAAATACCCATTCAGTAAAACCAAAATAACCAATAACCGTAGTGTTTTCGAGTATGGGCTTGGATCAACTTTTCATTTGCGGTATGAAAACATTTATGAAATCCTTACTCGATGTAATTGTGCCCAGCTGTGATGGCTACGATAGTTTCCGCTAGCTTAATTCAATCGAATCATACCCTCGGGTGTACACACAAGCGTGAGGCACAATGCTAGCGATATCGGAATCAATATCAACCGGCTCAGGTATTGTATCAAAACACCGGTGCGAGATGTAAGTAAGTGGTATTAGCGAGCGAAAACGAGTAAACCAATCGTACGAAAGCAATCACACTAAAATACCGAGCGTCGCGCACTCGTCTCACGAGCGTAATTTAATTGCGCCCTTTCATACCGCTCTTGCCAATCTAGCGTGCGCTCTTGTCAAGTAATTTTTGAGGTGAGCGGTCTGACATTGCGCGCAAAGGTTCGTCCTGCATGCGCTGGAAATAATCGCGATAATGTACGTAGAATGCGCTGCCTGCTGGATGGAATGGATTCTTTCGATATTATGCTGCATTGGAGTTTGCATTAACGAAATTCTTTGAAGAGAGATTACCACATTATTTCATGCCGCTTGAATGCATCCGTTATAAAGCTATAATCCAATTTCAGCGCTCACACAAAAGAATAGTGGTTTGTTGAAATACATTGAGTGTGCCACAAAAATATGTAGCTAATGCGAGACGTAATAAGATTTCATAATTCAGCGCGATGGCAGCGCCGAAGACAAGATATAATATCGCGAGTCAAAGGCCAAATTAAATCCCATCCGGCTTCTGTTGGCAAGCAAAAGAAGAGCGTTCGCTCGTCGCGTTTTATCCGGTCCAATAACTCCGCAGATGCTCTTTTACAAATACAAAGAACGTCTTTTTAAATTTGGGCACCGAAATTTCGCGCAGTCTTGCGCCGCCGTCGCCTTCTCATTTGATGGATTCGACAAACTTTTAATTGGCTTTCCATCCGCTCATTCTTCGTCCTGTCACTTTGTCCGTTTGCACCATTCGTGTGTGTCACCCATTGCGATATCTCTATGACGTTTTTTCCTTTTGCATTCTCAGCTCTCGCGCACTGATGGCGGTTTTTTCCCTCGCGCGCTACTCGTGTGCGTTTGTCACACACTGCCAGGGCACGGCACGTTCCTTTTTGCAGCTGACGATAAATCACCTCGGGACCAGTGTCGGCCTCGGCGGCCTGCGACAATTAAAACAATGGTGTGCCGCGCATTCGGTGGAAGCAAACTGCCGACAACGGCGTGCGGCGTGCAAAAGGCCCCGGAAACGCCGTGATGCCAAACGACGTTTTTTTTCTCGTTGCGTACAACCTCCTCCAGTTTTCCCGCCTCCATAACCAACATTAATCATTCCATTTTCCTGGTCGCCGTTTGGGGATAAGAGGGGTGGAGACGAAATCCATAAGTATCACTGTCGGGAGTCCGCAAAGGTTAAAAACAGTGTCACCTGCTTAATAACGCCGGTTGGCCGCACCAACCAATGTGTTCGTTCTAAATTGAGTTGTTTTTCCCGTTCATAATATAGTTATCCTGGGATTTGGTGTGTTCGCGATGCGGTGCCGCGCACTCATAAGTCGTACGAACCGCGCGGATATGTTTTACAGCCCGCTTGACACGAAAACCCAACGTACGTGACTGACAAGATTTTCTTGCAGCGCTTGTGATTTCTTGCCGCTCTCGGCTGTTGTCAACAAATCGGCGCGCATTACGCCACCCGCGCACGCCGTCGGTATCATTTTAGATTGAGCGACATACGAACATGACGACATGTGATGATATAAGAGGACGAGACGGGATCACATTGCTTTTTCTCGACCGCGTCGATTTGTATTATCAATTTAGCGATCCGGCAAACTATGATATTTTATCCTAAAAGAGGAACGCAAAACTGGCATTGACCGGAAATTACTTAGCGTCAAACTTTGATAGACTTCAAGTGCCTATCAGACGGACAGAATGTGAAAAGCTTCGACATCTATGACGAGATTATACACTTTGACGTACTTTTCATACTTTGCACATGAATTTGAATTATTAAAAGCCTACACCTGCATTCGAAGCGAACGCGCAAACTTTGCTCTGCGTTGCTTTTAATGGCTTTTTGTAAATCAAATACGTATTAAAGTAAGTCATGCGTCTGCGGAGTTTCGGAGTTTAGGCGAGACCGGGCTGTGAGAGCAAAACTAAATTTTCCAATCTCTTCCGCACCGACGCATTTGCTATTTAAGTTTTTGTTTGAATTTTAATCGTGCGCGCGCGCACCGACGACGTTTTCCATAAATTCCATAGTTTATACACGAATTTCAGGTGCATTCAGCGTTAATATGCAAAACGTACCAAATATATCGCAACAATATTTGCACGCCGGATGAGCTCGAATATTACTTGATGCATTTTGAAGTAGCCAGATAGTCGCTGTGCAACATGGACTCATACATACGGTCACAAACAAAATGTTAATTACGAAACTATCTCTGAATGCGTCGGGAACTTTCCCAAACGGAAAATCTAAACACAAAGCATGCATAGTGCAATAGTAATCCTGTTACATGTAAACAAATTCTGCGTAATTCGCGTTCCTTTGAAATATGTCACACGATTTCTTAGGTTTCCCTTTGTTCCGCGTGCCTTTTTAATTCATTCGTCTTTAAATTAACTAAATGCACCGTGGGGAAAACTGGGACAACCGGCTGGTTAAGTCATTGCCTCCGACACAACATAAAGACCCAATTGAAACGCGTAATTGTCTTTCCAGCCACGGTTCTTCTTCGGTCTAAGCGAACATTATTTTAAACAAAGTTGTAATCGTGCTAAGTGGCCAGAAGCTTTACGTTGGCATTTTCGGTGTCGTCCTCTCCGCAGGGCGAGTGTGACCCAGGAAACAGAAAAGAAAACAAATAACGAACGCCATTGTCTCACGGGCGTCGTGTCCCATTATATTGCGTTTGGCGTCGGGCGAGCGAAACAAGAAAAATTATTTTACATTTCCTACAGCCAACTCGCCTGCCTTTGTACCGAAGCGACAAGGTGAAGAAGACACTGGCGTTGTTTCAGCGCCGGCCGCCCACGGAATTTAATCTTAATTAACATTGCAAACAATGAGCGGGCGCTGGCAGGCGGAGAAAAGAAATAACGAAGTCGGCGCGCACAAAAAACACGAAACAATTAAGCGTTATATTTAACACGAAGGACCCGTAGACATAACCATTGCCGCTGTTCTTGGAGTAGCCGGGGTTGGTTGCCTAGAAGCGGCAAATTTCTTCAGCTCACTGCGACTGCTCTTGTTTTTCAGCGGGATGAAATCCGCGTGAATATTCAGACGAGCAGTCAAATCGCCAACAAGGCGCGTTTAAAACCTTTAAAGCAGGATAAACGAAGCGGAACGTTGCAATATGTGTGTTGCATATTTATAAAATGGCGTCCGGGGGAAAGTTGCTCGTCGGCGCCGCGTTTGTTGCGAGGATTTTTCCAAAGAGGCCCCTTCTGCCCGGATGTGAAGATATAAGAAGAGGCTAGGATTATGCGCCGCGCCGAGATTAGGCCCTTATCGAAGCGGATATTAAAAGAAAATTTCGTATTCCGCACGCAAAAGAGGTTTCGGGTTTAATGCCACCTACGCTAAACGCCTCCATGCATGAAACATGAAAAAATGCGAATATCGTTTGAACGCCGACGAAATAATGTTCAACCACATTCTGACATATTAATCTGGTGTGCGGCCCACATGAATATTTAGCGGTGGAGTGAGAAAATCGAATTCCTTCCGAAAGCGGAATTTCTAATGACATTTTAAATATTGTACCAAATGATAACGAATAAGTTTTCAGCGTTAAAAACTACTGTAACTTTGCGAATATTTAAACTTACTTACACATTTAATACACTCGTTACGAGTTCAGCTCGTGGGGTTTAAACAGACACATTGTCAAAACGTAACCGGAAGCCGAGTGCGTCTGTGCATTTTAAAAGTTTAAAGCACCAACTTTACAACTTTCAAACTTTATCTATCTCAATAAAGTTTTCCAGCTACCTTGCGCCGACGAATGCGTTGTGCGTGGGTGTGGTGAATTAATTAAACAATTAATTACCCCGCTAAAAACGCGCAAGTTAATCACACTCACGGGGCGTGCATTGAATAAGTGCCAGTTTTACACGTCGCGTTTAGATGTAATAATGCGGTACAATATTGCATAGTGCAATTAGAATTGGCGCGTGGCGAATCAATCACATTTGTATATCGGTGCGGTTTGTGGTATGCGTGGAACGCATTATGCAAACCGAGCGACTGCTAACGCCACACCGGTTGCCGCCGCTCGCGCGACGTGAATTACGGTAGCGGTGATAATAATGCATTAGTCATGCGGGGATCGATGCCACAATAAATCTTTTACCACTATAATTTGTTGCATGCTTTTATGGTGTTGGTAAACTACTTTTCAGTGCCTTGACTGTGTAATCGCTCCCTCAATCGGAGGCAATATATTTATGTGTTTGTTTTCGAATTATAGCTTTGCACCCTAAGTTTTAACTACCATCGCATCAAAATTTCCCTGAAATTTACGCATTTAAACCGCTGAAATTTGTATTTGACAGCTATGCAAGACATCCTCCTCCATTAGGAGCATCTCTTCGCTTGTTTGTCGGATATACCTAAAAGCGCGTTATTTCGCGTCGCATCGCGGCCTGAACGTCGAAGAACACGACGGCACACGCATAATGGAACAAAACTTTACACACGATAATGTATTGTGTTCGGATCGATGCGCAGCGCGCTTTCTCGCTGTCGAAACCTGAACGTTAACGTAACGTAAAGCGGTTCGCGGGCGGAGCTCGACGGGAGAGAAAAGCGTCGTGTGTGCACGAAGCGAGCGATTCGCTCGCATTCAGGCGAAATTTGTGCGCGAAGAGCGGCAGACTTGTACGCGCCGGCGGAAAACTCCCGAGCACAGCGATATATGGGTTACATGCATTCACATATTACACGACGCGGCCGTCCTTCTAGGTATGGATTTCTATAGACGACTCCGCAAGAGCGCCGGAGGAGAATGTATGGAAATGGAGCAAATTTGTGAAGGCATAAAGTCTCGAAAGCGTCGTCACCAGCACACTTTTCGCTTTAGCGAGCCTGCGAAGGCGTCGGGCGCACAGGCCGAGGCGTATATTTTCCCTTAATTTCCCATAAGTTTAGCTTTATAGCTTGTGTGGTCTTATTGCAAAACATCGACGGACTTTTGCAAAGTGTGGAAAATTGTCAGAATCAATACCGGCAAATCCTTGCTAAAGACGACAAACGACTGTAGAACTAAATTTACGAATGTTTGCCAGTAAGCTCTGTATGAAATTGTCCAACAGTCCTTTCCATATTGTCACATAACTCGCGCTCATAATAAATATATGTATTCGAAGAAGACGAAAAGCCAGGCAATGAGAGCAACAACGCGACGACACAATCCTGCGCACCATGTGTAAATGTGTATGTGTGGGTATATGCGGGGGAGTTCGCCTCGAGTGCAACTTTTACAAGTGTCAAGCAGGAGAGAGTTCGGAGTCACGAAGCGCTCCCGCGCCCGCTGAAAGCACCCGGCGCGGCATGCCGCGTGCATTTCGCGACACACTTGTTATCGATCCGCCCTTCGTCCTCTCTTGGCGGGCGAGTCGCGTTGTAGAGCGTCGAGAAAACAGATACACGCGTTCGACGCGCTCGCCTCTAACCTGGCTGGCTGGCGTTCGCACGAACGGTGCGCGACATTAAAATTCATATGCGAATTGAATATGTAAAATGCGCTTATACTCGCGAGTCGGCCCTGGGATGTGTGCTCTAGTTGTTAGCGCACACTCGACTAATTAAACTTTTACGAGTTTTGCCCTTTTTTGTCGGGCACGCTTGGCAAACAAAGTTTTTTTGTTGTCATTTTAAGCTTATCACAAAATTCGAAAATTAATTTGCATGTAATGTACAGTGGTACGGAAAGAAAAATTGAAATTGATATAAGTAGAAGAAAGTGAAGCGTGTATTTTCGATATTGCGAACGCATTCGAACTTTTTGAGAGGCACTTCAATCTCGAGCAAGTTGAATAAATTTTACATTGTTAACTCGAAATATACATCTCATCTCAGAAGAGGGTACTACTATTTTATGCATTCCGATGTGCAAACTCTTGCCGTGAATTCTCCCCTATGAATTTCGCATTGAGAAAAGAACAATTGACTGATTTCCAAGAAAGTTGAAAGATTTCGCAGTTAATAATAATCTCAGTAGAAAAATGTTTTCTATGAAATAAAATCAATATAAGGGCACAAGTAGTAATTTTGTCTTAAATATTTGCTCAAGCTCGGCGAGATTCAATTCCGAACTGCTTTTATAGTCCCCCGCAGCAGCGTAAAAATAAAGTAAATATAGATATAAAAACCACTCACCGGGATCGGGATATCGAAAATTGCGAGCCAAGTGACACAGCTGCAGCGGCAGATATCGCGTGTCGGCCCTCTGGGGCGATCGGACCGCCGGCGGCGCACAGGACAAGAACCCACGCTGCAGCTCCCAGCCGACCTCGGAGATGATACTCGCCTTGCGAAAGTATGGCGTCACTTCCCTCAGGTATTTCACTGCAAAATTCAAAACAGAAATCAGTTACGACCATCGTATATCCTAACCGCACACACATTCATATCATAATAGACACACAGCACACAAGAACGCGTAGGGTGTGCGCTTCAATTTGTTGTTCGCACAGGCACTCTATTCGATAAACTTATCAGCCGCCATTAGGTGACCTGGCGCGGTGCAGCACAACGCCTGCTTTACACCCATACACACACAGGCATTTACGTCCCATAATTGATCTGCCATCATGTCGGCCCTTTTGGCGTCGCTCGCTACATAATGTGCTTCTCAACTCAAGTTCGGATATGTCCGAAACCTGAGGGAAACCCCCCAAAGAGTAGCCGGGCACAAGGATCAAGAACCGAAAGCAATCAATTAACACGCTCTCCTTGTACCTACCAGACGACAACGGTCTAGAGGACGAAACAGTATTGAAACGTTATGTTAAAACATGCAAAAAGCACACGACGCGTACTCACGCAAAGTTCCCTCTCACACCTCTCTACCTAACACCAGATTGGGTCTTCGAAGAGAAGTTACCTTCCACATCAGTGGATGTCTTACTTCGCCAACCCTATTATAGTTGGAAATGGCGTTGGCGTCGGAAACATTAGATGAATCCTTCTTACGAATTTATTTTAATTAAGAAATACTTCCTCGCCCATTACCATTACGGACTGAGGAGGAAGGCGACTATAATTGAGATTAATAACCGAAATTCCAGCGCCCGGCACTAACCTCTCTCTAAATATATATTAAGTTGTGTGGAAGAGCTTTTGGGGCCGCTAGATGGAAAATATTACGTTAGAATGTTTTAATTTCGAAGGATCTTTATTTAAGCATCAGAAAACAAGGCTGTGCTTTTATTGGGAGAAATAATTCGGAAACAATAAAGCGGCTTAAAGCAGGATATACTTGACAACTAGGAGAAATATATATTTTGAACAAATTTGTTTTAATTTTCACAAAACAATTATGTCATATGTATACAATCGACCTGTGGTGCCACTGCTGTTTGGGCAAGAGTATGGCTGCCGGCTGTTCTTAATTTGAATGCGCCAAAACAGAAAGGCTTTCTGCTCGAGGTATAATTAATAGTAAACTTTACGTTTTGTCTCTTCATGGCTTTGCAGCGTCGGCAGTCGAAGAGCTAGAGCTAGAACAAACCGTCTCGTTGTCTCGTCGGATAATAAACGATTATATTTTACATAATCTCCATTGTTATCTCTCGGTCGTACCTCTTGTTTGTTTACACACGGATGTGTCTCGCTGTCTGTTGTTGTCGTCGCTCGCGAAGCGTCTCATATCTGTGCGGAGTTAGTTAGCTGGCTCGTCATGCCGCGATGGCATGATGGACCAAGATATACGCACTCGGGATAGCAAAAGAGACCCCATTACTAATTTAGTTTTAGTTTAGTGTTATGAAATCCGTCCGTTTCCCATCTCGTAATTTACCCGGCTTCAGCTGGTGTGGATGGATGCGAAGGCAATTTCAAAACAAACGACGTCAAATGTGTTTTCTTTTGTTTTATAGGCATAACTACCACTCAAAAAGGACGCCGGGGACGAGCCGGAGCGGAAAGCAGGCAACGCGGTCACTAAAACATGAAGGCATAAAAAGGTACTCGGCGAATGATGTGTGTGAGCGGAGACGGAGGCCCGAAGGACGAAGGAATGAAATAGTTTCGGGTTTCCGTTTTCGGTTCGCGACGCAAGTTCTGATCCGTAGGTCGGCGTGGCGCGCGGCTCTTTCATTCCATTTCCCCATTCGACCGCGCGCGCGTTCCGGTTTAATGTTTGTGTTTATTGAGTGTGTAAATTTCCTCTTTTTAACCGACCTGCTCGTGGGTCGTTTGGCGCTACTTGAAAAGACTGATAACCACCCCACGTTTGCTGCCCCCACCTCCATCTCTCGCACACATTGGTGCCGACGTAAACCTTTGCCGCTTCTCCGTCGGCGCGAAACGACAAGTGATCGCATGTTTGCGAAGTACAAACGACGTGTCGGTCGTTCGGTGTGTTTGAACAATGTCGGCAAACGCCGTACGAACGGAATGAACGTTGAAAATTGAAATTCGAGTTTGTTGCGTCGCCTACCATGCCACTGCCGCTGCCGCCGAACCAAACGTCCTCGGGTTTTCGGTTTGCGAATAATCTTCGACTTTAGGTTCCCATTATGCGGTTTGTCGCACACACAAAGCGCGCGCTCACTTGGCTGCTCCCCGGGATAGTTTATGCACCAAACTCCCGCTTGCCGAACGGATGGGAATAATATGCGGCGGTGCCACATCCACTTGCTCGTGGCTTTCATCGTTCGCTGCTTCCGCACATTTCTAGCTTTTCTGTATTTTACACGTTGTTTCGACAGATTTAAATATATCCATGCAGCAGAGTGCACCACCCCAACACTGTCCATCAAACTTACTAAATTAATTAACTGCAATTTTTCACAAATTGATTTCGTATAATTTAAAATTCAAACTTTACTTTCCCGAAACTGTTTCTTAATTTATTCAAGCTTGCTCAGATTCACTAGCGTCGTTAAAAGTTTCACTTCAAAAAGTCAAAGTTGTCGTGCCACGGGCAATTACTAAATTGTGTCGTCATAATATAAAGTGCGGTTAAAGTTTTAGTACTAGTTATTTTACTTTTTTTCATTATCCACCATACTTTTACTTCACTGGCTATGCAATGAAAATTCTTGTTTCAGAAATGTTATTTTTTGTTATTTAATGTTTACGATTGTGACGCATGTTTTACGCCCCGAGTGTATTCCTAGAAAAGTAAATCGACTATTTGCTGATAGCTGTCGACCGTGGTCAATCACTTTGACGGCAAGTTAATTTATTAAACTCCACCCTTCGACGCAGGCACTTCAGTTTGTAGTCGGTCGAATTCGACAGGACAGGCGCCACTCGTACGCGATGTACGCGCTCGCTCGCCGAACAACATACATTCCTCATCGTCTCTATGTCGTGTCCTCGTAGTCCTTGTGTATTGGACCGCTCACGAGTGTATTTCGGCATCCTGTTGAACGTTAATTAATCACGGCAATTTTTGTTGTTTGTGTCGCGTAACACCCACACACAACAAAAGTATCGAACAATGTGTGGGCGCGCGCGGCGCTGTTCTGATGATATTTAAACATTAGGGAAGAATCGTGTTTTCCGAGCTTGAGCATTTCCCATTTGGCGCCACTTCATTATATTCAATTTCCCGCGCGCTCACGCCGGACTAATAACGGCGCCGAACAACAAAACGCGTAATAGGTTTACCGTGAAAAAAATGTGTGCAAGCGTTTTACACGATCTCGTTGCACGTCCGCGAATGGAACGTGAAATGTGCAAAAAGTATGAAAAGCGATGCACGATGAGTGCTGTAATTCAAACGAAACGGAATTATTTTCGAGTTTTTTTTTTGCGCGCGCACAAGCCCGAACACCGGTTTTATTTGTTGTGTGTATCCACGGCGATGAGGGCTGGATGTTTAGGAATGAATTATTATGTCGCATTGTGGGCTGGATGCTGGTTAATTTGGGCATTCTCGATGGGGAAACATTTCCACGTATTTGTATACGTTCGTGGGTAGATAGCGAGTTTATTTATATTTCACAGAACATTACGTTTTTGCAAATTTGTGTTTTCAAATAAAGATAATTTGATAATCAATGAAATAAATATCATAAATATCTATTACATAAAATATTTGCAGCTTACACAATAGAATTAAATGTCACGTGCGAGTGATGACTGTAATGGTTGTACTTCCTGGTATCTATGCTAGACTGAAACTTATTCTATGAATAGAAGTATCTATTTCATTGCTATGCATGTAATATCGCGCGATACGAACATAAATGGTAATTAAAACGACGTCGAATTCGATTGCGATGGCGTGCGCGCGCGATGAAGCATTATCTTCCATGCCATTATGCCCGGACCCACCGACTCGCATGCGAAAGCTCATTAAGCTCATTAAACGTTGACAACAATGAGCTCACAATGAGCCCGCGCGTATTCACCAACGCGCAAGCGCACGCATCGTATTCGTTTTGATGTGATGTTAACGCGTTCGACTTTTTAATTATATTGTCATTATAACCTAGCCTTTTTTCTGTTCGCTGTGTAATGAGTAACATTTATGGCATATTTATAGTATAGCTACAGCTTTATGTGTGAAAAAACTTAGATTGCTAGTGTAGATAGATAATGAAGCTATTATTAAGTGCTAAAACACATTTCTGTCCGGTTAGTATAATAGTGTATGATTTATTATTTATACAACGGAATGTATGCTAACATCGTATTAAAATTTTAATACCAAATTTACTCTGATGTGTTTACTGATAGTTAATGGTTCGTTTGAATAGCAGATAAATCTATTATTTCAAATGACATGTGTTTAACGTTCACATATTTAGTTGTACAAAGGATATGCTGATCTGTTTTTGGTTAAATAGAGAGTATTACTAAATAAATAGCTGAAAAAGTAATATTAACATGCTGTAAAACTGGTGGATTTGCGCATTTTTCATTTTGCAAAACATTGAAACAAAATCAAACCAACAAAAATGTGTTTCATTTTGGTAGCGAATAAATCACAAGTTTGGTAGTATTTTACTTCGTGGAAACCATAACCACATCGAAAAGTTGTGCACGCAAATGCAAAAATGCAATAAATCTATCACCGTTCATAATGTGCGAATTTTCCAACCAATAGCAGAAACAACGGATACTTTAAAATTAATATCTTTTGTGGCTGTCGGATACAGTCAACTAGCAAACTTTTCACTACTGATTTTGTTTTTGTTGTATTGTATGACTTTCAGATGTAATTTGCTAATACGCATACTGATATTACACGTTTACATAATTAGCATACTCTAGAAACTTGACGAATTAATCGAAAGTAAGTCTTGTACTTGATTGCGCACATTGAATCCCCAAAACTTTTAAAATCTTACAAAATTAATTTGCTACGTTCAAAACGAGATAAAATCTAA